AATAAATAAAAAACCTCTGAACTGTTCAAATCAAGCAAAATGCACACTGACAGCATGCAGCTCATCTTCTGGGCCCTCCATATGAAATTGAAATTTCACCTGCTGCACCGCGTCAGACATCCATTATAATGGCAGCAGCACCCTCAAAGAACAGCACTTCTCTGTGGCTGAACATTGATTTTTCTCTTACCTTCAGATTTCTGTCTAGGTGGGTGAGAAGCTGTTTAGAGTGTCTTAACAGACATAAACACAAGCAAATTTAAACAAATCACCTGCCTTCTGCTCAGTTCTGAGAGGGTTTCACAGAAACACAAATCAGTTCAGATATCACATTCAGCTTCAAGGCTGCCCCATCTGCACATTTTATAATTATTTTAAACAAGCAGGGAAAAAAAAGAATTATCTCGACTGAAGCTAATTAAATAATCAAACAGAGGACTGGAAATGCACCTATTTGTGAAATCATGCACACAAAGGGTCAGCGACAACCAAACGAAAGGATGGCGGCTGTGACTCAGCCTTTCCTCAATTGGAGACAAAAACAGCAAAACACATTACGAGCGTGGGCATGTTTTTTAACTGCTTACAGGTAGCAGAGACACGGAAAAACAAGTTATACCATTTATTTACTGAAAATGTGTTATTTCGTCCATTTTAGGAGGACGAGTGGTGGCTCAGAAAACATTAAACTACGACTTTTTCCTTGAAACAGCTGGAGCAAGTTCAAAGAGCGTTTTCTCTGTGAGGAGGAAAACATCTCAGCAGAATAGAAGAAAACTAAATTCTCACTGCAAAGGGTCAGAGACCAACAACTCGAGAGATGCTAGAAACTGGAACCAGGAGCTGAAATGGCCCCACATCTGGAAAAGATGGACTTAAGCTATAAATCCAGTAAACTGTGTGTTTGTAATCTGAAAAAGGAGAATGTGAGATATGTAAGAAGGCCCTACAAGGCTGAAAAAAAGCTGTGCAAAGAGCCCCACCTAGTGGTCAGGCGACTGCTACCACAGAGAAAAAAACACACTTGAGCCACAACATTATGACTACTGACAAAGAAATAAACTTCCCGAGATTCTGATTCCATCTTTTAGTTCTTTTTAAAACACAGAAAGGTTTTATTTACCTGAAACGTTGCAGGTAAATAAAACCTTTCTGTGTTTTAAAAAGAACTGAAAGATGGAATTAGAATTTCAACACAGTAAGAACACACCAAAGATGTTCCGAGATTTAGTTTTTTAAAGTTTTCACACTTTAGAGCATAGTACCAGTAATATTTTTTATTCAATTTTTATTTTTTACACATTTTTCCACAAATATGAACTTTACATTGAACAAAAATATCCATAATCTTTTTGTGAATATTTTAAATTTTTCTTTTAATTTAAAAGCAACGCTAAAGGGATTTTAACGGTTAAAGCTTTTTGGCACAGCACTCTGTCGCCCTCTGCTGATCAAAAACTGCACTTCAACAGTTTTGTGGTTTGGGTAGGATAGTGGGAGGGGTCTATCTGCTTTACGGCAATAGCTGTTAACCATCCAGGGGCTAGTGTAATAATAGCAGTTAGCGTTTTCAGTTTGCTGGCCATCAATAAAAAGCACAAGAAGAAGAAACATTTTTATTTGGGGGGGGGGGGGGGGGCTGGCATAATAGCAGAGCCTGGAAGTAAAAGTAAGAAAGTAATGATTTTAAGGGTGAAGAAAAGAGCTAAACCCTGAATGAACATTGGCATGACCTACGCTCGTTCGAAGAAACTGAAGGCTACAAAATCACAGACTGATGGTGACCTGGCTTTGTTGCTGCTGGACGAATAAACATCTTTTCCAACAGTGTGGATCTTTTTACTTGGTGGTTTAATTGAGTGTTTGTTGGCTCGTGTTAGCATTAGCTCGTTGTTAGTACTAGCTCAAGGGTGTGACCAGGGAGTGGCCTGGGGTTGCACGTGCAAACCTTGGAATCTGATTGGCCACCCCACTGAGCTCCTTTGAAATTTACTTTATATTCTCTAGGGTTATAAACCAAAAAACAGTAGGTGGCATCATGTAACTTTAACATTGGTTTGTAGCCCCAGGCCTACAAAACATTTTAGTACTATCATTATTATTGTTCCTTATCATTTTTCTCATATTGACCTCAACAGTATTTAAGGCACTTCCACATCTGGGTCAGTACAATTGGGGCTGAGTCGCATCGATCCAGGCTTGTACGAAAGGTTTTTGTTTACATGATTCTCACAAACTTCTCAGCAAGGTGGAAATCCCTGAGTACATGAGTGTCGCAAAAGATGTGCAGAAAAGTCTGTGATGATAAACAAAGGCGGGTGTGAGCTGTGTTGCTTTTGGACACTCTGAACCATAATATTTTATTAATTTGCTCCCTGTTCTCTCACTTATACTGCTGTGCATGTCCTAACACTTCGTCGTCCGCTGCTGAAGCTAAAAGTAAACAAAGGCAACTCTGAGCTGTGATGTTCACGGCCATTGTTTCTCCCTGCTCACTCCCCTCACTTCCCACTAAGTTAAAGTTAAAGTCCCATTAGTTGACACACACACTGATGTGTGTGCGAAATTTGTTCTCCGCATTTGACCCATCCCCTGGGGGAGCGGTGAGCTGCAGACACAGCCGCGCTCGGGAACCATTTGGTGGTTTAACCCCCCAATCCAACCCCTTAATGCTGAGTGTCAAGCAGGGAGGCAGCAGTCTGCCACTGCGCTGGAGCTCCGTGCTGCAGACAGAGAGATGTTTACTCCACAGCATCCAGAATGTTAATGAATCGCTCAAACAGGAAATCCCCGCTTGTTGATTCTACCCACCAATCAGAGGCGGTAGGCGCGAATTTCAGCCGGCCAATCAGTCCCTAGTGTCTACTCGATCCCAGCCGGAATGCCCTCGTCTTCCTCCGCTTATCCGGGTCCGGGTCGGGGGGGGGGGGGGGGGGGGGGTAGCATCCCAGCTAGGGAGCTCCAGACCGTCCTCTCCCCGGCCTTCTCCACCAGCTCCTCCGGCAGGACCCCAAGGCGTTCCCGGACCGGATTGGAGATGTAACCTCTCCAACGTGTCCTGGGTCGACCCGGGGTCCTCCTGTTGGCAGGACATGCCCGAAACACCTCCCCAGGGAGGCGTCCAGGAGGCATCCTGACCAGATGCCCAAACCACCTCAACTGGCTCCTTTCGATCCGGAGGAGCAGCGGTTCTACTCCGAGTCCCTCCCGAATGTCCGAGCTCCTCACCATATCTCTAAGGCTGAGCCCGGCCACCCTACGGAGGAAACTCATTTCGGCCGCTTGTATCCGCGATCTCGTTCTTTCGGTCATTACCCAAAGCTCATGACCATAGGTGAGGATTGGGACGTAGATCGACCGGTAAATCGAGAGCCTGGCTTTCTGGCTCAGCTCCCTCTTCCCCACGACAGATCGGTTCAGCGTCCGCATCACTGCAGACACCGAACCAATCCGCCTGTCGATCTCCCGATCCCTCCTACCCTCACTCGTGAACAAGACCCCGAGGTACTTAAACTCCTCCACTTGAGGTAGGACCTCTCCCCCGACCCGGAGTTGGCAAGTCACCCTTTTCCGGTCGGACTGGACATTTGAAAAAGAGTCACCTCAGAACGGAAAATGCATTTATTACCCAGATGTGAAACAAAATATCCAGCCCGTACCGTACTGACCCAGCTATGGAACCGGCAAAAGCTACTAGCTACAGCAGGCTGTGGAAGGACTTTTTAAGCCAGTTGTAATTCCCCATTTAACCAGTAGATTAGAGAAGTGAGATACTTATTTAGTGTTGCTCTAAAACCTTACAAAACTGTGTGGTTTTATTTTATGACAACAAATCTCTGGTTATGGAAGAGGGGAAATGGCTGACTTTATTTTATAAAAAATTAGGTCTTATCTTTTGATTTCCTCTTAATTACTATATATTCTAAAAGTAAATCAATAAAAGAGCATTGTTCAGTGGCTCTCATTCTCTTTCGAAGGCATTTAACAAAAGAATGGTCCTGTAGGCTGACAGTTTAATCTCTAATCAAATTTTCTGGATTGGGGAGACAGCTATTTGGTGTGTAAAGGTTGCAGAGTAGAGGAAAACAAAGTCTCTGTCATTTTCTAAATAAAAAGTTTAAAAAACATGTTAATTTGCAGTCTCTTTTAATTAATTCTGCATTAAAATATTAAATATACCTGCTTTCATGCATCAGCAACACGTCTGTAAAGTGTCCACACCATGTTTGTTTTGTCTCTGCTGAATAAAATACTTCAGCAACTCAACAGAGAACGACTGTTGTCTGATTCTCTTCTTCTTGATGCACCAGACAAAACTTTCCAAAAGATGACAGATCTGGACTGCAGTCAGGTTGGTCAAGCGTCCACACACTCTGCCTTTGTAGTAAACTGCACAGCTTCAAGTCATGCTGGATGAGATCTGGCATAGTCCTGCTGAAATAACAACCTCTGTGGGGGGTGGGGGGGTGGGGGGGGGGGGACACTGCCTGGATGGTTGCATGCATCTCTTCTGACCTTTATCACTATCAGTAAAATATCTCTAAGGACGGATGCAGACTTTCTCACTTTTGATTTTCTTGTTTCATGCAAAGAACTTCATGTTTTGAGTTCATAAATCTGAACTCAGACAACCAAGTTTTGTACAGAATAGATTTAGGATTTTTCTCTGCGTGTAATAAGGTTTGAGGTTTTATTCCAAGAGGTAGCAGAGAACTGCGGCGATTGACAAGAGATTGTCAAGGTACTGTCGAGCCCAAGAGGCCTTATGGGGAGAAAAAATAAATAAAAATAAACAGATTTCATGCACTCTTCTCAGAGGGTTCCAAGGTTATAAAAATTCAATTGTGGCTTCTTTCTTTGGCCCTTATTCACTCAGATTTACCAAGAATGCACTCACATTAAAGCCATACTATGCAACTCTTTCATATTTTCACTTTCATATTTTTAAATCATTTTGTCTGTGAAGGTTCTCAGTCATCCAGGTCATTGTAGTCTAATGACTACTCCGTTTCAACCTGAGATGCAGTCAAAGCAGAGTTGTTCCCAAGAGCCTGCGCCTAGGATCCACTGTCAGAGGACACAGGGCGGACTTAATTCCACGAAGAGCACAAAATCAGCTTCTAAGTGAAAGGATAAGACAGGTCCATTTCACTATAGATGCCCTCCAAAGCAAGATTAGCCAGACTCTGCAGGAACTTGAAACCCTTCTACCCTCTCCAATCTTAGAAGAGGTTTACAAGTTTATGGAGAAGGCTCAGCGGGCCCAACACTCCAAAGGAAAAGAAAGACAACGCAGGAAATTCCACACCCTGCTTTCAAAAACACTCACTCCTCAGTCTGAATCTACACAACACAGAGAAGAACTTACACCGGAGGGCAGTCGAAGAAAATGGGTGAAGAACTTTTCAGACCGGAACCTCACTGAACCTGAAATGAACGTATTAGCCAAAGGACTCAATTTTGCCATTGCTCCGCAACAGTTGCCCATAGTGGACCTCATCACAGCCACTGAAACTGCCATCCGGACCAACAAATTATCTCATACAGAAGCAGAACAGATCAGGATGAAAGTCTCAGCCACCCTCTCCAGTGCCAAAGTCCCTCCGCCTAACCTCACGCTACAAGAAAAGAAGGCGGTCGCATCACTGAGCAAAGACCACACCATCACTATATTGCCAGCTGATAAGGGAAGGTGCACCGTGGTCCTAAACACAACGGATAACCACGCAAAGATCACTACTCTCCTCAGTGACAACAACCCCTATGAAGCCTTAAAGCGAGACCCCACAAGCAGCTACAAAAAGAAAGTTATAGCTTGCCTTCAAGGCCTTGAAAGGGATGAAACCATCAACCGCCTGACATATCACCGCCTTTATCCAGGAGATGCCATACCCTGCATCTACGGACTTCCCAAGATCCACAAGGAAGGTATCCCTCTCAGACCCATTGTCAGTAGCATAAATTCAGTCACCTACAACATCGCGAAACACCTTACTACTATCCTTGCACCTCTGGTGGGGAGCACCCCACACCACATCAAGAACTCCACCGACTTCACTGACAAGGTCCAGAAACTTACCCTGGATCCAGATGAAACCATGGTGTCCTTTGACGTAGTCTCCCTCTTCACTTGCATACCCACTACGGAGGCAGTGGAGACTGTCAGAAAACGACTACAAGAAGACAGCACCTTGGAGGACAGGACCAACTTCACACCCGATCAGATTTGCACACTGTTAGACCTCTGCCTCACCACTACATATTTCAAATACAACGAAGGTTTCTACAGACAAAAACATGGCTGCACCATGGGCTCCCCCGTGTCACCTATTGTAGCCAACCTTTACATGGAGGAAGTGGAAAGAAAGGCTCTTGGTTCTTTTAAAGGGAGAGCACCCAGCCACTGGTACAGATATGTGGATGACACCTGGGTCAAAATCAAAACACAAGAAGTGGAATCCTTCACTACGCACATCAACGCCGTGGACAAAAACATCAAGTTCACCAGGGAAAACATAGACAACTGCTTGGCTTTCCTGGACTGCGCTGTGCACCTTGAAGAAAATGGCAACCTCAACATTGAAGTGTACCGGAAGCCCATACACACGGACCAGTACCTCCTCTTCGACTCACATCACCCTCTGGAACACAAACTTGGAGTAATCAAGACCTTACACCACCGGGCAGAACATGTTCCCTCTAAGTCGGAAGGGAAAAAGAAGGAACACAGACATATAAAGGAATCACTTAAAACATGTGGCTATCCTAACTGGGCGTTTATAAAGTCAGCAAAGATGCACAGAAAAGAAGACCAGACACCAGTGAGGGAGGAAAAGAAAGACAGATGCAACAACCTTGTCATCCCCTATGTAGCCGGTGTATCAGAGAAACTCAGGAGGGTTTTCTCCAAACACAACATACCAGTGTACTTCAGGCCCAGCAACACACTCAGACAGAAACTGGTTCACCCGAAAGACAAAACTCCTAAACACAAACTGAACAATGTGGTGTATGCTGTACAGTGCAGCGAGGAATGCCCAGACCTCTACATCGGAGAAACCAAACAGCCACTTCACAAGCGCATGGCACAACATAGAAGAGCCACCTCCACGGGACAGGACTCAGCAGTTCATTTGCATCTAAAGGACAAAGGTCACTCTTTCGAGGATGCCAACGTTCACATTTTGGACAGAGAGGACAGATGGTTTGAAAGAGGAGTAAAGGAAGCCATTTATGTCCACTGTGAGCAACCACCTTTGAACAGAGGCAGCGGTTTACGACACCAACTGTCTGCCATCTATAATCCAGTTTTGAGATCCCTTCCCAGATGCCTCAAGGCCCACGCATATCCTGGGCCATCTGACCTCAGGAATTCACATGATAGGGTGGGGCCAGCTTTCACAATGAGCTCACCCGAAACTCTGGCTGAATAGGACCCACACCCACCCTCAATGTGTTTATGTAGAAGATTATCAGGGGGTCTTTTGTTCCCTCTTTGGGGGGAAACTCCCACGGGATTTAAATCTGGGACTCTCCACCATTTGACCTTAGAACTGAAGAAGCCTCTCGGATGAGAGGTGAAATGTCTTCAAGCAAATCAAAGAAGTCCAGACGCTTTTCTTTCAAAGCTCATTAGACTTTAAATCATTTTCTTGAACCAGTATGTGCTAAAATGGTTGCATACAGTACAATACAGGGTTAATGAAATGTTACTCAGACCACTACCGCCCACTGTGGCCAGAATACTGCATTTGCAACTTTAGACTGGCAGGCCGCTCCCTGTTGGATTTAGGAAAAACGGAGCTGACATACCTGACTCTGCAGTCTGGTTCCAGCACGTTTCTTGCATGTTTTAGATCATGAACACAGCTGATTTGTAAAATGTGGTGATAAACCACTCCTGTAGACACTAATGAAGGCTGGGGAGACATTTCAGATGTTAGATTACGGTGTTAAAAAGACGAACACACAGCAAGGACGTACATTTTGGTTTGATCAAAGAGGATGAATAACGGACACAAAGGGGTGCTAAAAGCAAGCAAAACTGCCAAATGTGCCTTTAAACACTGTTGAAGTAGAAAATGTTTTTAATGTTGTAGTTTAGTATAAATCTTGACCTGGGTGTCTCTTGCCCATCATCCAACAGAAGCGGGAGTGGTAACAAGATGTTGGTACAAAAATGAACGAATTAACAGCAATAAGTGGTAGAAATTATTTTAAAGAATGATTTTCTTAACAATCAAAACATTAACTGTCTAATGGATTATGCACACACATGCTAAAATGTTGTTTTTACTCCCAATTCTAAATTATACAGGTCAAAATAAATGGAGGATACTGAAACTATCCTGTCTGTGGGAAAAAGATTGAAATAAATGAAACCTCTGATTAAATTTTATTTATTTTTTTAATACTAGAAATTCTGAAATATTTTTTATTAGTTTATATTCTTGACAGTTTCAATACCTTCTAAAATGAGCTGTTTCAGGGCTCTGTCAATTTGCCATTTCCACAAAATGTGAATTATATTGAAATGATCTTAATGAAGTGATTTTATGCTGTAAATAGCCTGTATTTGTATAGCACCTTCTTATAGTTCTACAGCCCCCCAAGGCGCTTCACAACAGTCAGTCATTCACACACACAATCACACACTGTCCTTTAGGACTGTTTCCAAACCAAATAAAACAAATTTAAATATTTCAAAACAGACCAGATACTTTTTCAGAAGTTTAAATTAGAAATGAATTTGCTTTTAGCGGCTCGTCTCCAGTCTCATATTAAAAGCTGCACACTGGAGATGGGAGGACGGAGGACTTTGAAACCTCTCGACTCTTTATTCCTGTCAGAATATTCCTACAAATAAATTAATTATCAGTCAAGAGACCAAGAGCGAGAAAGAGAGATAGCGCAATCTGCTGGTCAATAATTGATTTTTGACCACTGCGGCAACCATCACTCGGCGCTTGGTGGCGAGTACAAAGCTCTTTAAAACGAGTGCCACAAGCAGGAATGCATCAGGAGGAATGTTGACGGCTGCATCACACTCGTCCACGTTGCCACGGAGACGCAAACCTGCAAGTGAAACCTGGTGGTTGTAGGCAAAAATATCAAAAACAGGCTGAAAATGCAACTCCCACATGAGGATGTTCGGCCACCTCAGGAGGTTTCCCACGTTCTTTAGATGGGCCGAGGCCACAACAAGTCTGTCAGTCAGTTATTGCTGCAGCAAAAACACCAATATGTTTTTTTAAAATTTATTTATCGACAGACTCCAACATAAATAAGTAATGAGGATGGAGAGCAGTCGTGACTAGCTGTGCACACATCTACAAACTCACAGCTTTCTGCTTCATGAGCTCGTCCCTTGGTTTGGAAGTAAAGCTCAACAGGAAATGTTCAGTTTAGATTTATTGTTTTATCGTCTGACAAAAACGTTAACAATCTCACATGTTTGATATTTACACTGTACATAAAACATCCTCCCATAATACATCTGATCAACTTCAAAAGAGACACGTTTGACTGGCAACCCTCACGTTCACACACACTAGCCAAGGTCATCTCATACTCTTTATAAAAGCAGTGTATGCATTTAGAAATGGGACACACACCTGTCACCAGGAATGACAGCAGAAAAACAGTCACCCCTGCAGAGGTTGAACACAGTAACAGCTTCTTTTCATTTGCATGTTTTCTGACAAAACCTGGATTATAATCTGGCATCAAAAGCAATAAAAATGTGAAAATGCTCCAGAGTTTGGTGTAATCTGCTAGATTTGGATCGTAATCCTTCTGGTTTTGCTCGCTTGTAGCTGGTCTGATCTCTCCTACTCTGCTCTGACCTCCTTCCTTAAGACATGAGACGAATAAAAGGCAGCACTGGTCACGACGTGTCATTCCCCATGACAGCCGCAGGGGGCGCTCTGGTTCTGCTCACAAGGTTTGGAGGGAGGGACTGGCTCTGTGCCTTGTTTCTGCAGGCAGAGAGGATAGCATTAAGGCTTGGAACAGTGACAGCACCTATCTGAGACAGATTAGTGGTAATATTAGGCATCATGGGTACAGCGGGGTGTGCTAACAGAGCAGCCTTTAAACCGGTGCTTAACCAGCTTTTAATTCCTAAATGAATAGGACATTTAGGAAGCACATGAAGGTCACAAACACACCCTCAGGGGGAATCTGGTTGTTCTTCTGGGACTGTGCCACTGGGTGTCAGTGTGGTGACATTCTGGTGTCTCACCTCCCTCACCCATCCCTTTTCCTCCCCTGTCAGTCATTCCCGTATCTCACCTGTTTACGAGCAGGACGCACAGGTTGGTTGTCAGGGTGGTTGGGCGCCCATGGCCCCAAACTCTGATTGGAGTAGAAGTCCATGGGGTACACTTCCCTCCATCCCACCTCTTGAAGAGCTACGGCTGCCTGAAAAAACAAACAAACAAACAAAAAAAAAAATACCCAAATCCAAAAGAATCACTTGTCACAACAACCGTATTTTTCTCAGACGAATATTTCTTGTTGCCCTTCACAAAATCAGTCGCTAGGCATAAAATATTTGCAGAAAAGTGTGGCGTGATGAGCAGACAGCAAACTGACAACACACACAGGACAGATGTCACAACATTAAGCATGGATAACATGCAGCATTGTCATGTTCTCCCTATGCAGCTGCACTTCATGACATAACAGCTGTTAGAATAGGAGAACCACGGCGCCAGGAAGGCGCCGCGGCGTTCTGTAGGTCCACACAGCTCCATATGGGGGAGAGGTGACGGCGCATGTTGATTATAAACGAAAGGAAGGGATGTGGAATTAATGAAAAGATGAATAAATAAAATTATTTTAAGATAACTTTTTAAACTAAAGTTAGCACAAAAACATGCATTTGGTTGGATATTTCTTCAGACATTGCTTTACCATTTGAAAGCTGGGAATACATGAAAATATGATTTGAGTCATTATAAATAATGAAGATAACAATTCTTTGAAAAAAGTTGTAAAAAATAAATCACACAGCTGTGTGACATCACCAAGGTCTACAGTTCTGCCCCTGCTCCCTCTCCCCTTCTGGAAAGAGCTGAACGCCAGGCCTCAGACTGAGGATGCACATAAAATATCCTTGTAGTGTTAACAGACAAGTAATGTTTTGGACATGTTCCTGCTCAGACACCTGATTCTAACTGCTGAATTCTCCTCAACCTTCACTGGGCTCTGTAGCAGCTGCTTGTTTGAATCACACCTGCAGTGTTCAGGCAGGAAAACGTCTAAAACCTGCATGAAACCAGCACTTGAGATGTTAGCACACCTGTGCTAATTCTACAAACACTGATGTGGTGCAAGGTTCAATGCTACGCTAATCACTTAGCCCCAACACACAAAACATAAATCCCTTTTCATTCCCCTCCCTTCTCTTCCTCAGTTAGCTTGAAGGTTACAGACTGATTGAACGTAGGTCGGGTTAGCATTGATCTTTTCATCTTTCTATAAATTCATAAAAATTTTGTTAAAAAATACTGTAAATTAGCAGATTTGAGTAAATAAACTATTTGTCCTTCTTGGGTTCGTAAGAAGAAACTATTTTTTATACAGCGCCTCTCAAGATAAAAAATTTGAGGCGTTTCTCAAGAACAAAAATACTAAAATGAATAAAAACATGAATGTGTATAAAATAAAAAAAATATATATCATAAAAATTGAGAAAAACTGGAAATTTTTAATTGAAATAAAATGAGAAGAAAGAAAAATAACGAGTAAGAAAACGTCATCCAGGCTCCCCGGGAAGGTCAGAATCAGCAGCATGAAGAGAAGGTGGTGAGGAGGATTCAACATAAGGTCACACCAAGGCCAGCCTGAACAGGTGAGTCTTCAGCTGCTTTTTAAAGGAGACCACCGAGTCCACTGACATCAGGCTCAGGGGGAGAGAGGTCCGGAGCCTGGGGGCCACAGCCAGCCAGACATCCATCGATCTTTCTCAGACAAAAAGCCACATAGTCATATAAACATGACACAAACACACACACTCCCTTTCCCCAAACACCCTGTGACTACTCCTCTCCTCCTATTTCAGCATCCTTTCATTTTTCCAGCTATTAACGACTCTTCTCCTCTCCCCTCTCACACTTCCTCTCTGTGGAAGCTAGCTTCCTTTGCTAATCCCTGCTCTGACAGGAGAGCCAAGTGTGTCTTATTGACTATAAATATAACATGAGACGCACTGAAAATAAATGCTGCTGCGCCTCCCCCCTCCTCCCCATCCCACCCGTCTCACTCCACCCTCCCGTCTCATTCCTCTTCATCCTAAATGCCACGGTGAAAAGCAGAGCGCGCCCAGACGGTCGACGCTCACAGGTATGAGGGAGAATTAAGTCTCATCTCGGCCATACAGACACAAGAGCAGCTACGAATTATTGAAATGCACAGACTAGAGTCCTTTATTCCTACAAAATTGCTGGCGGGGAGAGCTAAGACTCCATTAACACAAAAGAACTAGAGAAACAGATTGCTGCTTTGCTCATTACAGCGGGGGCGAATTTCAGACTTCGTATGCACAATTATAGAGCTCAGTGTCAAACGGCATAAAGGAAAAAAAAGAAAAACATCCCTTTTTTCTTCAGGTGAATGCTATCATTAGTCTTAATAGCTTTGTTCAGACACGTAAGTGCTTTAACAAGAAGCACACAAAGATGTACGGCAGGAATTAAACAGCCCCCGTGTCAAATCACAACCCACTATTCAGGAAAGTAATTCCCCCTCACAGCCATTTTACAAGGATTCAAATCAGACAAGCATCAACGGGGGGAAATCCTCCCAGGAACTGAAAGTTACATGCTAACCAGTCAGGTCACGTGCCGCATCACTAAACAGGCCTGCTTTATTTTTGCTGCAACAGCTGCAGCAGCCTTAAACCGCTGCTCTGAAGTGGATCCATGCAGGCTGATGTCTGATCTCTCTCTCCCTCTAGCTTCAGAAAAACAAAACAGCTGCATGAAGGGTGGAGCTGTGAGGTCCAAAGACCAGCAGGGGGGGCTGATCTGCTGCTCATTACGCTTGTGCATACCAGACTGCTTTACTAAAGAGTAAGGAAGGAGTGAGCACTGATACTCCATCTCCAGCACAAGAGGGTCTTGAGGAGTGCTACATAAATTCACTGTACTTTCAGAAATAACAAAGGCTGTAACTCGTCTGCTGTCCTTCTATAAAACCTTTATTTAGGGCGGAAGGTCTGCGAGAACGCAGCGCCGAGTCTGAAACGTGAGTGGCAGCTAGGTGCATGCTTACCTCGTATGGTGACAGCAGTGGTTTAGAGAAGGCTGTTCCCCAGTCGATGGAAAGGCGTGGGCAGGCGATCTGGACCCACCTGAGAGAGAAGCAAGGTTCATACCTGAGCTTAAATCTACAACCGTGAATTATTTAGGCTAAAATGAGAAGGTGAGACACTTGGTTCCTATTTAGGATGGCAGAGCACAGCTGCACGTGAATACGTGATGCAGCGGGTTGGGCAGGGAGCCTCTTCCCACCTGATCACCAGCATCTGCTGGGGAGATCTGAGCCGATGAGAAACCCCACTAAGGACTGCCCTGCCTGAGTGCAAAAAGTAGGACTGAGAAGGGAGGGAAGAAGGTGTGGAGTGGTCTAGATTTTGGGAGGCATAAACAGAAAATCAGGGAGGACGGATGGAAAAAGGAAGACATGTGAAAGAAGAAGTGGGAGAGGTTAGGTGAGTGTGAATAAAAAAGCTGCACCAGCTGGTCTCCACGGAGGTAGCCTACATAGCTCGCAGACAGGGTGATGGGATGGGGTGTATTAGAGGGATGGGAAGGGGGTGGGCAAAAAAAAAAAGAGAGCAAGAAGGACAGAGATATGCAGCGATAGGAAGAACTAGCAAGAAAGACGAAAACAAGAGGAGGGGCCGAAGAGACAAGCAAAGAGGAGGGAGAAGAGTGTTTACTCTGGAAAATGCATGAGAGGAATGAGGAGAGTGTGGATGTAAACAGCTGCAGGGAAGACTGAACAACGGGAAAATGAAGACAGAAAGCGGCTGGGGGTACGAGGGTTAGCTTTCACTGATCAATGCTGTCCACAGCTCCATCTCAGCGCACCTCCTCTGTCCCTAATCCTCATCATACCGCCCCGCCTGAAATATTGACAAATATAGATTTAGCTGCAGTGCATCAAAAAATAATGATGGATGTAGGTTAATAATGTGAACGAGAAGAAACCGGTTTGAGAAGCAAAGCAAGAGCAGAAAGACAGATGGAAAACACACAAAAGACACAGCACTGCAGTGAATTTCCCTTTTTGATTTCCCCTTTTTTCTGTTTCCCAGCTGCAGCCTGGATCACACCTCTCCCTCTCCCACCCTTCAGTTTCACATTTTCAATAATGTTGAGTTATTTTCTTTTTTATACCTAAGAAGTGAATATTTCCCCAAACGCCCAATTTGAGATTCAACAGAGTCATAGATGCCAAACCAAACCTCGTAAGATCTTCGATTGCAGTTTGGACAATGATGGGTGTGTGAGGTTTGACCTTTGACCTATAAGTCCATCAGTGGTTTTTCTATAACCAGACCACACATTAGTCTGTCTAACACATATATACACCTCTGCTATTAGTAGGCCAATGAATTTTCATACCAATGCCACATTTTTCCTTACAATTAATTTCTTCAAGGTTGACTTTAAAAAGAAGAAAACCAGTCTATGGGTAAACGTGGGGAAGGAAAACTTGGAATGATTTCCTTTTAGCCGGTGGGGACAAAAATTATGCCAAAGCAATTAAAGTGGTATGATAAAAAAAATGCAGTGGAATTCTAAAGAAAACTGAAAATCTGAGGGGAAAAAAACTTGGTTTTCGGCAACAACAGAGCTTTAAAAAATAAATAAAAAAAGAAGATATTTTGTGGTCAGGAAATGACAGAGGAAACAAGGCCTTCAAGAGACCTAGACACAGTGTATAATGTCCCCCAGCATACCAAAAGCCAGATTCAGTGGGATGCAAAGGTTTGGGCAGCTTTGTTATTCTTCATGATTTTCCTGTATAAAGTTTATAGGATTTTTAGAAAGTGTGCAATAATTGTTTAAACACAATTAGGCTGGTGCATGAATGTGGGCAAAACAAAAAAGACAACGTAATATTTGGTAGATCCTCCTTTTGCACAAAAACAACAGCCTCTATACACTTCCTCTAGCTTCCAATGAGAGTCTGGATTCTGGTTGAAGGTATTTAGGACCATTCTTCTTTAGAAAACTTCTCCGGTTCATTCAGGTTTGATGGCCTCCAAGCATGGACAGCTCTCTTTAACTCACACTACAGATTTTCGATAATATTCAGGCCTGGGGACTGAGACGGTCATTCCAGAACGTTCTTCTTGTTCCTCTGCCTGAAAGCTTTAGTAGACGTTGAGCAGTGTTTATGGTCGTTGTCTTGTTGAAAGATCCAACCCCGGTGCAGCTTCCGCTTTGTCACTGATTCCTGGACATTGCCTCCAGAATCTGCTGATGCTGAGTGGAATCCATGCATTCCTCAACTTGAACAAGATTCCCAGTTCCTGCACTGGCCACACAGCCCCACAGCATGATGGAACCACCACCACGTTTTACGGTAGGTAGCAGGTGTTTTTCTTGGAATGCCCCTTGTTATGCCTCACTAAAGGTAATCATCAGATGATCCCAACATGTGTGGTGTCTTGTGGTTCCTTTCCGGAACTGCGCTGCTCTGGGTGGCTGCATGTTGGAATAGCTCTGTTGACTATATGTAAGTTTTGCCTTTTTTGGACATTTTTTTCTTCTAGTTTCTCAAGATAAACTATATTTTTGGACACTTTACTTTTCTGTTTCTGGTGCAGTGAAGCTTGGAGGATTTTTACTGCCATTTTTGTTAGCTTTTTTCACTTTTTGAGCATTTGTTATGATGCGTAACCATGGCAACAAGCTGGTTTACAATAGGGAGCAGCTGATTAACATTGGGAAGGCTGAAATAATACCTCAACTGAAGCCACAAATCCCAAATGAGCTAAAACGCAAGAAGCGTGAATGCAGAGCGGGAGCAAAACGGAGACAGAGAAAGAGGAAATTCAAACCATCTCTTCCATCGATCATAATGGGCAATGTGAGATCACCGGCCAACAAGATGGAGGAACTCCAAGCCCTTTCAAGGACTCAGCCAGAGTTTCGGCAGTTTCGGAACCGCTGGAGGAGATAATGCAAAGAAGGATTCTACAGAGAATCAAGAAAATGATGGACAACCCTGAGCATTCTCTTCACAAGACTGTCCGACAACGGAAGAGTGTCTTCAGTCAGAGGCTTCTTCAGTTTGGCTGCAACACTGACCGCTACTGGAGATCCTTCCTGCCAACAGCCATTGTAATATACAATAACTCTTTGATGACTTGATTATTATTATTATTCTGAGCTACTACAGCAATCAATTTCCCTCTGGGATTAATAAAGTATTTTTGAATTGAATTGAATTACGAGAGCTGTGGTCTGTTCAGAAGGATGCCAGGACTGCTCCGATCATAAATTCGGGCTTTATCACAAGTTGGATTGTCTTGGTCTGATTTTCGGGGACAGATAAATGTGCTACCTGTTGAATGTGATCTATAGTCAATCAGAAGGTGAAGGTAGTGCTCAGCACACTCCTCCTCCGCCATGTTTGTTTACCTCAAAGTCCTGTTTTATCTTGCTAGATTTTCCGTATGAGTGGGGAATGCAGTTCATGCACGGTGTGTAGTCTTAGCCGTTGACTCGAGACTAAATCTCATCTGCTTGGAGTGGATGGTGTGAGAGAAAAGTAAAAAGTGCATGAAAATGTGAGCAGAAGATAACTTTGAGGGAACATAAGCTGGCTGACGCAGCAGAGACTGAGCTTACACATAAAGATTCATACTTGATTAATGTAAACAAAGTACTTCTGTAGGAACGAGATTTAATCAACTTACTTTTTCAGTGAAGACCTTCTAGTGAAGAGCCAACATCATTAAGTGCTGTGAAACAAAGCGCTGCACTAAAAAGAACAGATGTAGGTGTCAACAGAGGTGGTAGACTTGTCTCGAGTCGTGTAGTCTCGTTTCACAGTTTAACGTCAGTTTAACAAAAGCTAGCTGAAATAATGAATCAGCGGTTTACACTTTGCTGGACACTTTCTCCGAGGATCTGTTTACTTCAGCAGAAAGCAAAACCTTTCAACACAAAGGCTCGTAGAAGGATTAGAGGAGCAGGATTCCGGTGTCATGTGCTCCACGCTGTGATGCATAAAAGGTGAAACCATGTGACATTTGCGGCGGGTATGCAATGTGAGCTCAAGCCTGGCCACAGCGCGTTACCTGCTGTGGACCATTACACCCTGACTCTGGAGGACCTCCACCTGCATGCTCCCGCTTCATTCAGACGTACGGGTTAGAAACACTAGAAAGCAATAATAAAGTAACCTTTTAAAACCTGAGGGGGAAGAGTGTTCACCTTTCACAGCAGGTTTAATTGAATAAAAACAACCAATTTCCTTCAAATATGGCCACAAAATAATTTTTTAAACACAAACACATCATGAACAAGTGCCATTTAGCTTAGATAAGTGTGTGTGTGTAGTGATACATGCACAATAGTTTAAAACCTGCTCGGGGACAGCCTAATTATACACTTAAGAGCATATGCTAATGGTGTTTCAGTATTTCCAGTGTAAAGTATGAGTGTTTAATGACAGAGAAAGCCTGGGGGTGGGATCAGTAGATTATGATGTGTCTGCTAATGCTGAGCTGCTGCTCATGCTCCATCTATCTCTCCATCTCCTCTTTATTTATGCTTCTGTTCCTTAGCCGAAACAGCCAGATTCGACAACTTCAAAAACGGAATAGTTTACAATTGTCAATTGTAGTCTGTTGGTGGAAGCTTGTGCTCGTACAAACCATTTTGAGCAGTCAGAAGGGGAAAAATACAACAGGAAAACATCAAAATGCCATGCCGTGCAAGTCCGTAGCAGAGGTGTTGATTGAATTTCATGGCGACTTTGGACACTGTAGGGCATTTTTGATTTCTATTGTGTAATAAAGAGAGCTCCAAAACTATTTTCTTCAAGGCAACTGACGATAAAATAAAACTACTATGAAGGGTTTGGTCAAATATTAATCCTTAGCTTGCAAATGAGTATAATAATGTATAATTTCCTGCTGTGAAAAAGACAAGAGAAGTGTAAAAATATCTGGAGGATTAGGATTTGACTTGGGACTCTACAACGAGAAGCTGAGGCAGTGAGTTAACGAAACAGAAATAATTTCCTTTTCTTACTTGCTTTAGTGTTTAACTTCTTCAACTTTCATATATTTTGACACATTTTTAAAGAGGTGTAAAACCAGTTGCAGCTGAACATTTTTCCACCAGTGGTTCATGCATCTGATTAGGATGGCTACCGGTTATTTGCCAGGATTGCCCGACTAGGAAGCCACCCTAGAAAGACCCAGACCTCTCTGGATAGATTAAATATCATCTCTGGCCTTGGAACTTCTTGGTAGCTGGGTTATTTACCAGGGAGATGTGAAGCAACTTTGATGTAAGGATGTCCAAAATTATCAGCTGATCATTGCTACTGGCCAATATTGGCATCTGTGTCCCTTACAGTATGCTGCATAGTTCTGGAACCCACATTTTTAATTCTTATTCGCGTTTTTAATGGTAGAAGGTTACGACGCTAGCTTACTGCTTATGAGTATAAATACACGTACCTTTGTTATTATTTTTCTTCAAATTATTCTCTTAAGTGTTGGTGCTGCTGCAACGAGTGAATGTCCCCACCGTGGGATCAATAAAGTTAATTCAATTCTATGAAAATGTAAAATTGGAAATTATTGGTATTGGTTTTTACTCTTTTTATGACAACCTTTACATACCATGCACATATTACACATGAAACTACTTCTCTCACTCAAAATGAGGTCTAGTTTTGCTAGTTTGGCTGAACTGGCTTAATTTTCATGGAAGTAACAGTCAATTTTTGTACTGACAACGTTGAAAGGTTAGGTATGCATGATGGGGGATATGTGATTTTAGTCACCTAAAATCATCCAGTTTTTCTTTTTTTTTATATTTTTTTGCGAAGCGGATCTTGCATAAATCGGTATTGGTTTATATTGGTTTTGGGAGTTACTAGACGCAGAGTGCCTGGGCTCTCCCTTAGAGATAAGGAGAGAACCTCGGTCATCTGGGAGGGGCACGGAGTAGATTCACTGCTCCTCCACATCAAGAGGAGCCAGTTGAGGTGGCTCGGGCATCTGGTCAGGATGCCTCATGGACGCCTCCCTGGCGAGGTTTTCTGGGCACGTCCAACCGGGAGGAGACCTAAAGGTAGACCCAGGACACGTTGGAGGGACTATGTCTCTCACCTGGCCTGGGAACGCCTTGGGATTCCCCCGGACGAGCTGGCCCAAGTGGCTGGGGAGAGGGAAATCTGGGCCTCTCGACTTAGGCTACTGCCCCTGCGACCCGACTCCGGATGAAAATGGATGGATGGACTAGACAACATTGGTGTGTCGGATATCGGTAAAAAAAAGCAGATATTGCATATTTCCAATGTGAAGGTGTCACTTTTAGAACTTTGACCTTCTAAAGTAAACTGAAAATGATCACTCACTGAACAGAGGGACAGATAAATGGATGGGTGGACATCGCTATGGAAGTGTTGGGAAAGATCGCATCTATTGCGGACTTTATCATGAGCACCATACAGAGTCTCATCCTTTTAATATTCACCTGCCGATGTCAACATTTTCTTATTCACAGGGAGTCTAAAATTAGACCCACATTTTGTAAAACTAGAATGAATGTGGGAAGATTTGCTGCTCCAAAAAAATTTATGCAGTCATTACTGTTAATGGTGCTTTGAAATCCCATAAATGCAAGCACACTAGTAACAAAGTATCCATATGTTCACATTTTACTGAAAAAGTCTTCATTTTCAACATTTGATGTCATTTTTGTACAATTTTCACTTAAATGTAAGGTTTAGAGGATTTGCAACCTTGTAAGATTTTTTTTACCTCATAGCATCCCATCTTTTGAAAAGTCAGATCCAGTTTTGAGCTTTCATTTTGTATTCAAAGACTTTTGTTTTCTTTAGATCAAGGTTGCACTCGCTACAGAAGCAGATCGTGTTGAAAAGCTTTGTCTGTAATGAGGGTTTGTTTTGGTTGGGGGACTCGTGCCTGAATTACAACGTTTTGGATTTCCACTCATATGTCAGTCTGGAGAGAAGCACACAAAAAGGAAGGAAAAGAAGAATGGCTCTCACCACAATTACTTGCTTTCCAAATACAGCCCCTCTAACCATCTCTGAATCCTTCCATCTCTCTTTTTACAACTCAATTTCTCTCAGACGTTCTGTCCTCGTCTCACCCGCTCCTACCTCACACCTCACACCTCTCATTACTCTGCAGAGAGAGACCAATGCGGAGGATGGCGAACGCCAGTGGCTGCATGATTGGAGTTGTTGCAAATCAGTGCCTCTCTGACCCTTGTCCATCTTCTGTACTGCTCCTGTGACTGGAAGTCATATGAATCAGAAAAATGGAGACTCGGAATCTGAGTACCTGATATTTCATTGAAGTAACTTGAGGAATTTATTTCAGGTACATTGACAAGTCTTGCTGGGTTGGATTAAAATGCGAGATGGTGAAGAACACCAACTTCTGCTGTGATTTCAAATATTCAGGACTTTTTTAGTCAGATGGAATGAGAGATTAACTTGATTCATAAAAAACAAACATGTTTTCCCCACTTTTATATCAGATCAATGAACATCAAGTTATGCCTTTTGAGCTATATTCACCATGCAAGTGTGCCCTATTCAGTCTATAAAGTATTGAAATATAAATAAAACATGCACCACCTAATTTAATATTCAGTTGTAGCCCAGATCAGAAATAGTAAGGCCTTAGCCAATCAGAGTGCTTGCTTACAGCGCATGATCATCTCCTACTCTTGAACTTTGTGTGGGTGTGTTTCCATTGTTGGAACTTGAGAGTAATTTCTGGAAGGAGGAAATGGTTTGGGACATACGATAGCCTGGTCCTTTCACCTGTTGTGTCTCCACAAATTCAGCCCTTTCAAGACCTCGCCCGAGACGTCAGCATATCGCGACTCGGCAGTGAGTGATGCCACTGATCAGTGCCACAAAGCATCCACAGTAACACACGTTTTATATTGAACGGCATCATTTCATCCATTCGAAGAACCGGGAGAGTTGCTGTGTGATGTAAAATGTGGCCGTTTTTTTTTTACGGTGCTCTGTGAGACACGAAGCCACAGAATAACGACATTGTGAGGGAATTCCACTGTGATTTTCAGTTTTGGGAATTTAGTAACGACACCTTTAAAGTAGCACAAACAGTGCTTATTTGCTTGTGCTTCCATTCTGCTATGCAAGCAACTCTTCTAATTTTACTAATACCGGTTGACATTTGCTAACGTCATTTCCCACTGCGTTACAACCAATCAGCTTGAGCTAGGGCTGGGCAATAAATCGAAAATGTATTTCAATAAAAGTAAATTTAAAGGAAAAAGAAGAAAATCTCCCTCTCTCTATACAATAGAATGCAGAAAATCTCTCTCTCTATACAATAGTATACGTACATACGTACATACATACATACATACATACATATGTACATATATGAACAAAAAACTTTTCTGAGTGAGAGGGCAAGACTATTTTATTTTCTAACTTTTACTATACTCAGACCGAATGCAAAAGTAGATCAGTAAGCACTTTGGTGAATTATTCATGTAAAAAAATCCACTTTCTTTGCACTCGGTTTTTAATGCTGAGGAAATCGTGTGACATATTCAAGATGAATTATGCCAGAATCTCACCGAGACCTGAATGTCAATACTGCTTACGAAGCATTAAGCTTGAGAACACAGCTAGTCAGCTGGGCTGTATCGTGTACTGGCAAACTGTGCTGACTCCCCAACTATGTGTACAATGATGCTTACAGAATACACCAGAAATGGTGCTGATTGACTACTTCTTGTTCTTCACGATTGTTCTGAAAGAACATGATGCCGACTTTAAATGATCCATGCCGACAAAAGTGCTGTGCAAACAGACACAAATACAGTCAAAAGTTTGAAAACAAATGAGTTTTCTATATCAAACCATCATTAGCCAACATTAATGGCTTAATTTTAAAGTAAAATATTCCTTTAGCTCATTTTTCCAAAATACCTGCCATCAGAAAGGTGCAATGATTACACAGATGACTGATCAAAGATGGTGCAAAACAACAGCTTTTTGTTTTTTTTTGGCGCAGATGCATCAATCTGACCTGGACCATAAAAAATGCTTCACAGGAAGCTCAGAGAAAATCAGTTTCTGGGACAGAAAGAATAAATATCTCTGGTGTAGGAGACGTTACAAGCACCAAACACATAAAATCAATGACAATAAAATCCCAAAACACACATTAGGAAAAGCTTTGTTTAACTTTTACACATGAACCAAAGCTGTGCAGTGACAGCATGCAAAAACCACCAGATAGACTCCATGAGACGTGTTGAGCCTTCCCAGTCACAAGAATAAAACAGAAAGCTTTTTACTGCATAAGGGAGAACGTTAGCCTTGCACAGGAATACTTTATGCATTGCTGTACGGCTCAAAGGCATCAGGGGGTTGTCTAGAGAAATAGATCAAAATCACTTTTTTATGAAAAGTCTCAGTCTCAAACCAGCAAAAGCCAAAATCTAAATAGTATGCTTGATTTGTTTTTGACACTCATGCAGCGTAAAATGAAAATAAAATATTGGCTCCTTGAGGGCATATTTTCCTTTTTGTTTTGTCTGCTATTGAGCAGTTCCAGCCCGACGGACCTTTTCACACCATGAACATATAACATTAATGGGGTCATAAATCTGTTAAAACCAAGGCATTTAGTCTTTCAGACGTTTAGCCTCCTGTATGATTCAGCTGTAATCAGAAGTATGAGCAAAAACCGACCAAAGACATGAGCCATCAAGCAGCTGACAACATCTGTGTCCATAGGATAAAAAAGCACATGGCTGAAAGCCAAATGGACACATTTGTTTTGTTTGGCTTGCAATACTTACGCGTCCACCTCTGGCATCAGATCCAACTTCCCGGGAAAGATTTCAGAGAGTAGGACTCGAGTGTAGGACTTTCCCAGAGATTGAAGCTTTGACTCCAGGTGCTAGAAAAAAAATACAAAAGCTTCATTTAGATCTCCAGGACAACTCCAGGTCACTTTAACCCTCTGTTCATGTTTTTTTCCCTTGATGAACACAGTAAAGAACAACCCGCCAAATGGTAATAATACTATATTGTGAAACTCCAGGAAAGTCAGTTTTTGGCATCAACACCACGGGAACTTGTTACTTCACTGGATCACACTCTCATTAACTCCTATAGCTAGTAAGCCGATCACAGAGCAGCAAATCAATGTATTAATCTAAGTATCTCAAAAGCTGCGGACTTACTGGGATTTAAAGTCACAGCCGTACCCAAGGTTTACAGAAAAGGGTCCAAACACATAAAAATATGTCTCGTCTCATGTCAAAGTATAAGACTGCTGCTCATGGTGTAATTAGATGGAGCAGATCCTTTTTTTTTGGGGGGGGGGGGGGGGGGGCTTTTTAATACCAGCTGAAACTAGTTTACACCACAGCCTACCAGCGTATTGTTGCTGACCATGTCCATCCCTTTAAGACCACAGAGAAACCATTCTTTGATGGCTACTTCCAGCTGGATGATATACCTTGTCACAAAGCATCTCAAACTGCTTTACAGAACATGACGATGGGTTCACGGGACTCCAACATCCTCCACTGTCACCAGAACCTTTGGGAGGTTTATGTTTATGTTTATGTGCTTAGCAGACGCTTTTACCCAAAGCGACTTACAATTTTTTTTTAACCTATAGGGCATGTTGTGATCTGTGGGGGAAACCGGAGTACCCGGAGAAAACCCACGCATGCATGGGGAGAACACGCAACTCCACGCAGAAAGGCCGCAGCGAAGGCAACAGTGCTAACCACTGCGCCACCATGGGAGGTGGTGGAACGGACGTTCACACAGTGCAGCACTGGTGTGGTGCTGGTAATGTAAACCAGAAACTCTTAGGAGTGTTTCCATGAACTTGCATTTTTGTGCAGTTATACTAGTTGTGCTGTTAGTTTGAGTTATACGTCATAAATGCAGCTAACTGCTGCAAGTGGGCATGCTATGTTGCATTATGAGAGCCTAAAGAGTGTTCTTTTGTTCCTCTGGAGAAGTCTGAGTTGAATACAAATGGATTTACATCTGCATCTTACAGCAGAATGACTTAAGCATTTTCATTTGAATTCTTCATAGATTTAAAATCAGCTAAATAAAGTTAAACTAAATGCAATCATGACTGTGGATTAATTTATCAATGTGATGCTAGTTTCTGATTCAAGATGCATATTGCTTTATGCATTAGTGTGCATGGCTGTTGCATGCTGTGCAGTATGTGGAACACACCCAGACACCGATGGTTACCCATTGATTTGGATGCTGATTGATGACAGAAAACAACAGCTCTACATGCAACATGACAGTGGAAGCAACGGTGCTTTCTCCTCCAAACGCTTGAGTTAATCCTGGCCTTAAGAAGTGTTCTGGCTAACATTCAAGTTTGAGAGCTGTAATAAATCTGTCTGGCTCCTTAAACCCGTATACCCTACAACTTTACAATCGACATCCTGTTCTGGCTTGTAAAGCTCCACTGCATGAAGTGATGGAATGATAAAGATCCTGATGCACGGCTTCTTGCTTTACCGTTATCCCTCTGAGCTCAGTGCATTCATTCAGGGGGGTTTCTTTACTGTAAAACTGTAAATAAAAAAGGTCATTTATTCAAACCTTAGACTATGAATGTACGCACATCAGTTTACTGGTTATTGTGTTTTGGGTGTTTCTACTTCATATCAAAGCAAAAGACTCTAGGAAAATCTGTGAGACTTAATTAAACAACCATAATGTCAACTCAACATGGTTTGGACGGTATCTTTATATGAGTGAGTACACCAGTCATCTTTATATTAATTATCTATATAAAAATAATCCAAAACTTTGACATTATTGAAATCTATAGACAGTCTGACTCTAAGCAGAGTATCTCTGGGACATTGTGACACTGACAAACACAATATTTTACTTTTCAATTGAATTTCTCAACTTCTAAGACAACATGATGAGAGATGAAGACAGTAGAACATTTTTCTACACCACATCCTTCAAGTATTACCTTTCTTTGGGTCTCGCTTCTCTTGTTTTTCCTTTTTGGTCAAGACTTTCAGAGTCTAAATGTCGACTCGTAATCTTCACACGAAGCAGTAACTACCCACTTGGTTTCTTAGGATCTGTTTAGGTTTGAGAAATGACTAGCAGGGCTGCATGCTATACTGAGTCTTTATTATTAATACATCAATGTAGGCAATACAATTTTTTTATGAAGGACTCCAATTAACTAGGGATGCACCGATGGATCAGCATTTGATCGTAATCTTCCGATAGCGCCCCTATCGGTTTTGATCGGAGTTTTCAAAATAGATCAAAGCAGACCGATCAGGTAGGGTTGTCACGGTAACCAGTGTAGCGTAAACCCCGGTAAAAAAAAAGTTGACAATAATAATAACCGTCTTGTTTTTTTTTTAAAAAAACTATATTATCTTGGTGGATTACAGTGGCTGCGGTGTAGGCACGGTGACCCTTACCAGCCACCGTATCATCTGCTGAAGTTGCAGGACCGGCGGCACATGCGCGCTTTGCTGTTTACAACCAAAACTTTCTTGAAGCTAAAGCTGAAATAATGGCCAAAGGAGGAGACGGCAGCACTCAGGAGGACATTTTTTATCCCTCAAAGAAGACAAAGTCAGAAGTACAGGCATCTTTTGGATATCTGAAGAGTGCCGAGGGACAGTTTATAGAAGACTGCTATCCTGTTTGCAGCACGTGCAGAAAAAGTGTCTGTGAAAGGCAGCAACGCTTCAAATCTCATGACACATCTGCGTGACCATCACCCACAACGCTACAGTCAACGCAAGGCAAGCTAACGTTAGCGTTTTAGCTAAAATGCGTGATCCGAGGATTTGGGTTGAGGGAGAATGCAACGAGTCGCTATATAAAGCAGCCGCAGCGCCGCTACCTGCATATAAACCGTGTCGCGGACACCCCCATGTTGAAATGACGCTATGCATTACGGAGCTCCCAGGGGCAGATAAGAGTTGGTCTCTCTCCGAGAATAATTATGAATTTAACAATGATTACTGCCTGATGACATTTTCCCACATCTGCAAAGCTCACTGGAACACAAACCGAGGACAATATTTTCCTGATATAGGGTTTATTACTCAAGTAAGGGTAAAAAAAAGTATCTGATTAGAAGGCTACTTGAGTACTGAGTATCATCTGATCTAATATTTTTAAAATGATGACATCAAACAGACATAAAATAAGAAGTTATGGGCAAATATTGGTATTTTAAAGACTAAAGGGAAAAAATGTAAACAAATAAAAAACACAATTACAAAATAACACATTTTAGGCAAAATTTAGACACAAACTGAGGACAATATTTCCTGACATACAGGGTTTATTTAATTGTGTGAAAATGTAGCACGTTTAAAAAAATATACCGCGATAATACAGAAAACCGTGGTAATTTTGGTCACAATAACCATGAGGTTAAATTTTCACACCGTGACAACCTTAATACAGACCATTTTAGATTAGGTTACATTTCCTTTATTCCCAGATTATGTAGTTTGTAGCACTCATTATAATGTTGTAGAAAATTTCTGGCCAATCCACGTGATCGGTATCAGTGATCAGCATTCTTTGATATGGGTATCGGTGATCAGCAACAAAAAACCTGATCGGTGCATCCCTACAATTAACTGCAGAAAGAAAATATTTAGCAACTGGAAGGGCACACTACTCTAAACGTGCACAACAAATGATACATGATAAATGGCCAGCACTTGTATAGCACCTCTCCGAGTAGGGACTCCAAAGCGCTTTACACTACAGTGTATCATTCATCCATTCACACACTGGTGGGGTTGAGCTACGATATAGCCACCCTCGGGCGCACTGACAGAGGCGAGGCTGCCGAGCACAGGCGCCACCGGTTCCTCCGACCATCACCAGCAGGAAAGGTGGGTTAAGTGTCTTGCCCAAGGACACAACAGCAGAATTCTCTGTCCGGTGCCGGTATCGAACCTGCAACCTTCTGATTCCTGGAAAACCCGCTCAACCTGTTGAGCTACTGCTGAAACAAGCACATGTTGTGTGTTCCTACACTGCGTGCACATAAATAGGGGTGTGTATCGGTAAGAATCTGGCAATATGATATATTTCACAATACAGGGAAGACAAATCAATAAATATGATACTAAAAGCAAGACAATATTAACAGATCCATGCAGTAGCTCAGGTGGAAGAGCAGGGTTGCCTCATGATCGGAGGGTCATGGGTTCGACTCCAGCTCCCGCCAGGGGTATCCTGCTGTTGTGTCCTTGGGCAAGACACCTCACCCAACTTGGTCAGAGGGGCTGACGGCGCCAAATGGCAGCCTCACCTCTGTCAGACCTCCCCAGGGTGGCTGTGGCTACAAGTAGCTTACCATCACTAGCAGTGTGTGAATGTGAGAGTGTGTGAAAGCGTCTTTGGGTGTCTAGAAAAGCGCTATATAAGTTCAATGCATTATTATTATCATTAAATTTGAAGACTGAATTAAATTATAAGAATCAGGTCAGACACTTCCAAGACCCATTGAGTGTTATAAGGAACCATCTAGTTCTGGACCATGAGCGTAAGGCAAAGCGGACCAGAAAATAACTTTTATAGCCCTGTTCACGAACATTCATTTCTTTTTTCATCCAGGGGATCTATAAGTCCACCAAAAAGTGAGAAGACAGGCTGTTTCTCAATATGAGTACCCATCTGAACTTGTGTACTCACCTCCATTACATCATCAAAGATGGCCTGAGTACTGTTCCAAACCTAAGTATGTATCACGGCAAGTTTCATGGCAACTCAAAGTTCCCGAGTGTGATTTTGTATTGCTCATTGTATTGAGGATGCATCAATGCATCCTTTTGAGGACGTGGAACAGCAAAGTATCCCATAATGCATTGCGTCGCAAACCGTTATACTCCGAACAGCAGAGGAGAAACCTCATAACTGTTGTTTCATATCAGAAATACAAACAATTAGAAAGCTGTTTATTGTAAAAAAAAAAAAAATGTGTGTAACCTGTAAAAGTTGCTGTGTGTGTTTGCTTGTTATTTCAGAGTCTTTACAATCCCTCAAAATGCCCACTATGAAAATAAAAGCTCCGTTTTGATGAAAAAGGAAACTTTTATCTTCATTTAACAGCAGAAAGTGAAAGTGGGACAAATAATATACAAATTATGTGTATTGTTATTTTGTTATGTAAGGAACAAATTAGACTTTAATCTTTAGGTTAGGTCTTTTTTTTAACAGTAGAACGGACTTCCTGCTGAACTTGCCAAGAAGAACAAATTTGTCAAGTACACAAAAACGTACTAGTGCACTACTGATAAATCTCATTGTTCCGTCAGAATGAAGATGGTAAAAACTGCTGCCACCTAGCAGCTGGAGTTTGAATTGCACCGTACAAAAAATACAGTAAGTCAACACACTGCATTTAAATATCGATTCAGTATCATAACACAAAATATCACAATATTTCAGTATTTCGATATCTCTTACATCCCTACACAAAAAGGTGCCTAACTATTAAATAAATAGCCAACCAGGATTGTTTACAGAGTAGAAAACTGTCACTTGGACATACTCCATAAACAACTGGATATAACCCAAAGTTCAAGTAAACAGATGAATGAAGGATATTCTGCAGATATGTTTGTTAAACAGAATACAACGTAGCACCTATAGAACCTGCCTGCAGCGGTCTGGGTGGGACAATTTGGTTTAAAACTCAGAGTTTGAGTCCAATAAGTAGCCAGCTGCACTGCAAACAAATCCCCACAAGATTCTGTCCATTTAGAATTGGTAATACAGCAAAACCCATCCAGACCTCCCCTGAGGATGGAGAGAACATGTAATGTACTCACATAAAGGTCATCTTTTCAGCTATAAAACATTTAGATGGATGCCAGCAAACTGAATTGTCAATGTTCGCCACATGTATCTGATGAAATTCACTTACTCTAGGCAACTGTAGCAATAAAAAAGACATCCGGCCAGGGGTTGAGCTGCAGAGACCGTGTGAAGAGGAGGCCAATATATTTATCTGGTATTTTCACAGCAACTAATGAGCAGGTTTCCAAGTGAAGGGTTTGGGATAGTGAGAAATACTATCTATTTAGCAAATGGGCAGGTCAATACTTAACTCTGGAGAGGAAAGGGCACAGATAAAGCTGGTTCTCCTTTCCCTCCCAAGGTGAAGTTATATCACACGCCTCGAGCATAAACCCTGACAGAGGATTCATGTATCAATAAATTAATGTGTTCGGCAAGTTTAAGAAAGTTCCCAGCTGCTGCCTCTGCCTTTGAGGTTGTGGGCAGTCGAGGGAGGTGTAAGGAGCCCAGAAGGCAACCAAACAGAGTAGAAATCCCATGAAATGTTCCTTAAGTGAGATAAAGGTGAGTATTGCTGATATCCACCCTCCCAGGGAGGATTAGGAGACATTTCTATGACTGTGCTCTTATCAGAGATGGTTCAGTTCTTTCACTTGAGAGGTTATCTGACACCACACTTCTTAATCTCGGCAGATCGCCGCAGGAGGGCTGGAGAGTTCTTATTCAAATCTCCATTTAAACCCTTTTCTCTTCTGCCACCTTAAAATGAAATGTCTCCATTTGGTGTCTTATTGACATTTCACCATCAGTGCTGACATCATCAAGTCTGGATTTTCACAAACAACTGAAAATCTCCAGCAGAAGGCTTTTGAAAGTATCTTTACATTTAGCATTGAAACGATGGTCCGTGCATACTGCAAAGCACACCTTTTGGTAGCATAAACTTTCAACTGAACAAATCCTCTGTGTATATAGGAAAATCCAGATAATATTTGACTTTTTGTCATCAAAGCGGTTTTTAAAAAGCTATTACATTTTTTCCAAGCACAGCAAAATCAAAGATGAGACTGTCTAGAGATGTGTGGCCGCATCATACCAAATGTGGAATAACAAGCTGCTTGTCCAGATGGTACAACATGTCATCAAATCACTTGTCAAAGAAACTCACGCTGCACAGTATTACATGTCATTGCACAAGAAGCCCCAGGACAAGTGTACTGCTGAAACAACGATGCAAACTCACCTCCAGGACTTTGGGACTACCCTGACGCCCTAGTGTGCCCAAGACCAAACCCCATCTCTGGGCCAGTCGGGCCTTGTCAATAGCCTGCAGCCTAAAAGCCCGCATGGCCTCATGGTCGTAGTATTCCCTGGAGAAAACCTTGCTGTAAGGGTCATATCTACAAACAAGCACAGGCAGAAACATGTTGAAATGCATAGATGTTTTGACATGTGAGTGCAGGGATAAAAACAAACGTGTTACATTTTTACCAGCTGTTGTTCAGGTATCTGTCTTGAGGACAAAATGCAGAAAGATAAATTCAATCACAAAGCCGTCGGGTTTGACAGGAGCTCAAGTGTTTTGGGGAAAATTGATGTATTTGTGAGCTTTTAATCTCCTTTACTCTGGTAGGGGTACACTTGAGATTAAAATCTTATTTATGAGAGAGACCTGCGATCTGTGTGACATCTCATGTATTACAAATTCATTTTACATGCAAGCAAGCTCCCAGTCAAACAAATACATTTACACTACAAAAATATTCACTGAAATTTTCATTTGTGTTTGAAATGGCTAATTGGGTTTATTAGATAACTCATACTCCTTGTTTTCATTGGATTAAAGAATATTAAAGGGGACCTAGATCAATGTTTTAGTACAATTGAAAACAGCTCTTTGAGCCTCAACAGGAAGCCTAAGGCACGTCCATCTACTACCGTCCATGGTGGGTCCATTTTACTAACCATGGATTTGATAAATTGGTCATTCAATGTGATTGATAAGATTTTTTCAACAATGAGAACGGAGCAGGGGGCTCCCACATGTCCACAGGGGACACACCCGGTGGGGTATATGCTGGATTCCTGGAGGGAGTGGAAGATCATATGCCTCAGCCAGCTGTCCATTGAGGATATCGAAGACGTGTGGATATTCGGCCTGATGATCACTGGATTTCTCCTGATTGGAGTGGTAGGATATCTGGTTTTCTGGAAATTTGGGAAGACGGGAGCGATTGGAGGGCGACCCGCACCCACGGAAAGCACCGTCCGTGTGGAGACTTCTCAGACTGGAACGTTACTCGAGGTGAATCGTAAGCTGGACAATGTTCTAGCTGCGATACCGGTATTAGTGCGCAAAATGGATGTCATCTCGGAGAGGGTCACCGGACGGTATGGACAGGTTTAAAAACCCAAAATTGGCTTCACTGAAGGACTGGAAATGATCAGTTTAAAGACTGAAGGCAGAGAGGAAAATTATCTCAACCTGACCCAAACAAATTCTTGTTATCTGAATCTGACGCCCTGGTAGCCTTGAGCGGCGAGCAACAAACCCCCACGAAGGTATGCAGACAGGTGCTGTGCACCCCCCCCCCCCGCCTCCAGATTGGTGGACTTCAGCCTGGCGAGGTCATCAATCTGCAGGAGTCAATGTGCTCTTCGCTTCTCCCAAGATCTCCCTCCCACCTGTGACTGTACAGTAGATGAGCGCCATGGATGGCTGCTCTCGCTGGGGGAAACAGAATCCCAGCCCCCCCGCCCGCCTTCCTATTGGAGTCTCGTGTTATGTTGTGTTGTCTGAAGTCTGTTGCATATTTGTTGAGGTGTTTTTTTGCAGAGCAAAGCTGCCCTCCTGGTGGGAGGGTAACTGTGAAGTGCGTTTTTATCCCTCCGCCTTAACCAATCCTCATTTTACCCTCTTATCTTTATTAAGGTAGCGTAACTCGGGTTGCGAATGACCACAGTCACCAATTCTTGTCATGTGTCTTACCCATGTATGTCTGATCTCTGAATTGTGTGTACTGAAACTCTAATTTCCCTCTGGGATTAATAAAGTATTGATTTATTGATTGATTGATTGATTGATTGGGTCTCCTACTGGCAAAAAACTGGGAGTCTATGAGCCGATAACAGTTACTTTCTAACCCCTTTGGTACGAGCCATGTATTTCACATATACTGTACATGAACTGACATCCGCTCGTCTCACCACATTTACATCAAACCAGACATGGAGAACAAAGACAAGATAAGTGGCTGTGAGTTTAGAGGACTGCTTATCCTTCCTACCAGATGAAAGACTATATGTATCCCTATATGTTATATCAAATGTTGTTGGGGCTCATAATGGCCCAGGAGCCCTGATAAATGACCAAACACAACCCCATAATAAAGCCCTACAATTAAAAGATTTAGCAACGACATGAATATAAAATGAGCTGGTTTTACCATACACTGGTACTATGTTGCCTGAAGCTTTGACGTGACGCAGAAGAGGACGTATGCAGCTCCACTGGACTTGGGGGGTCGTAGTAGGGTTGTGTGGCATGGACAAGCAATGTGTGTACGCTTAAGATACGTCAAACACGCTTTTCTCAGAATGAACACTTTCTCTGTGGCCATTACAACATTAATAATTTACATAGAAATGCTGGGTGGAGATGGCACACTTTTAGTACATTAGACAACCCAAGCTGTCTACGTTCAACAACAACAGGGTGAATACGGCTTTGAGTGCTAGGACACCTTTTAAGTAATGAAGTAATATGGAAGGAAAATATCTGACAAAACATGGCTGTTTTTTTCCTATTACCTGTAGGCAGAAACTGCTGGGTTTGCAATCATGATCGACTCCAAGTGAAATCTTCCATCTCCAAGATAACTGCATAAAACGACATCAAAAACAGGATAAAAAATCCATTCAAAATAGTTGTAACTCACAAGAAACACTAACACCCCACATTTTCTAATACTTTATTTCACCATTTATTAAAATATCTACATCTCTTGCAGCTGCTTCAGACCAAAGTGTTTGAAGCTTGGATGGCCAAGGCTGAGGTGGAGGGCTGCCAATATGTGTGGTCTGGGAACAGGACCCCGATGACTGGATCACTCAGTTCACAGAGAACTGCAATTCGTTTAAATACACCCAAGGTTTGATTCTGGGGATTCATGCAGAGACACGGTTCATAAACCATAGTTCATAGTTCAAAAACTATTACCAAAGAGGCACATTTGAATGTTGCCTTAAAAGACAGATTGGCCAAAAGGGTGAGGCTAAGAGAAGTCCTGCTGTTACCATGAGGGAGAGTGGACCTCTTCCTAATTAGAAAGCAAAAATCCTCACTGCCTGGTTTGTTTGTGGGCAGCCTAAAGCCCAACGTAGTGCAACAAGAGTAGCCCAGACTTAATTTGCAGTGTGTGTTCAAATTCAAATTCAAAATAGTTTCATCTGAAAACACACACCTTCTTTTCCCTGTTTGCTTCTTTGTAATAAAACTGAATGACAGCACAAAATGAATTCAAGCACAGCCTCTGCCGCATAGCTTTTCTTTGCTTGGAAACATCCCAGGTCCCCGTATAATTACATCCCCAACAAGAAACCCGCAGCCCTTCAGCCCTGTTGTCCTGCGCCGTCTGTGGCTGTAAAGAGGCTGGTGTGCTCGATTTTGGTCCTCTTCTCTGTGCTTTTGTGTCATCGTCCCATGCACACGTTGTTCTATTCTGAGAAAGGGCTCCAGCAGCAGACAGAAATGGTCCACTGATCATTTCTTAAAACTCTTTTCAATGCAGTTTCTGTCTCTTTAGACGGAGCTTTTTTAATGCTTCAATGACTGGTACCGCTATTCATTCTCACAAAGTTTATTTCATGCATTTACAGTCTGAGCATGTAGTATTTCTGGTGCACTGATTTACTTCTAATTAAAATAAGATAAGCCAAAGTTAAAGATTACTTTATAGCAGGTTATGAAAACATGAGCTGTTGAAATGTGGAGCCAAGGATCTTTTGTTAGAGACACTGCGTTATCAGCTGTGTCAATAACTTGATATGAATGCATTAAACCAAAAAGAAACTTAATTACAGAGGAAACTATTCCTCTCTAATTAAGCTTTCAGTGATGCAGCTGCAGCATAATAAACAGTCTTATCTTGTTGCAACAGATAGATTTATGGTTGATGTTAGGAGGGCTGCAAGTCTTTACCATGTCAATATGTTGCTCATGTGTGATAATATAATCCTGTTTGTGTTCACCGTGCACGTGAGCAAAAGAGACGGAGAGGAACTTCCAGGCAGGGCGATCGATTCCTGCTCATAACAAACGCTGCATGCGTTAGATTTGCAGGTGAAACACAAACTCTCACCAAATCGTCGACCCCGCTGCAAGTGGCAAAGCTCTTTCATGTGTTATTTTAATCTCACGCACCGGAAGGTTTTAATCGCATGGACTAAATGTGTGCAGATCAGATGCGGGAGGAAATTCACCTCTGCGTAATTAAATCAGGAGAATTCCATTATCTCACCGTGCGAGACCAAATACAGGATTTGTGGAATGTAGATCAGCGCGAGCTGAAATGACACAAAGCAGCTGCGGGGTTGTTGTTGTCTGCTGCTTAGCCGTGACGCTTTGTCAAATCACTCTCTTGTCTGCAACGCTTTGAATCGTCTCACCTGCACGGTGTTTGTGTGAAAAAGCAGACGGGCTGTTCTTTTAGGACACATGCAGCTACTGACTGTGATTTTTTTTTCCACATAAAAAGAGATCACTTTAAATAGGCAAACAAATTAGCTGCAACAAATTTGCAAACTGCCATGTGTTTAGCGATTTATCAGTTTTCACCGTCAACATGTCACTGTCAGAGATGTACAATGCAAAAGAATTTCTTTAAAACTTAGGAGCATTTTGGCACAGATGTGGACAAAATGCAGTTTGAAACAGCCAAAAGTGTCAATCTTTGTTCAATTCAGTGATTTTTCACAGTGAGAAGGTATTTTTAGTCTCACAGTTATGGATTTGCATCTGGCTTGTTCTGGCTGCACAAACCATAAAACACTGGCTACTTATGTGGCTTCAGTATAACTACACTGAGTAGTATGATTAAAAAAAGTATTGATAGCAGGGCAGGATTAACACTTTGTTGTACCCTGGGCAACAATATTCAAGGGCCCCATCATCACGACCCAAGGATCACCATAATATGGTCATATACTAGGGCTGCAACAAACGATTATTTGGATAATCGATGAATCGGATGGGGTCTCGACACGATTAATCGGATTACATAGGGGCATTTTTAAAAACTGCTAGGGAAACGTTATTTCTCTCCTTCCTTCACTTTATTAAACACAACATTATTAGAAAACAGTTCAATAGCAGAAAAACAACATGCCATCACCTAAATTGTCTTATAAGCTACATCTATCTGTGACCTAAAATGCTTGGTTCCAAGTTAAACAGCTTAAAGAGCAAGTCAACCCCTACCAGAGTCTAACTCCACTCCCACTTCATGTTTGAAAAATGCAACACATGCTGTTGCCTGGCAGACCGAGAGGGCGGAGCCGCTAACAAACACACACACAGGCTCACGACAGCATTGTGACATCATAATGTACCAGTTTACATCATAGCATACTTCTTAGCCAATAGCGGATGCAGATTTAAATTCAAATACAGTGCAGAGTTTTTACCTGACAACGGCACAACACTGCCAGTTTTAGGCAGAATATTTAAATTTGAACTAAGATGCACTGAAGTGCCAAATTATTGACGACACGTGTCTGCAGCACGATTAGACACTCGTTTATTTAGTTTATCAGCAAAAAAAAAAAGTTTATTTGGGGGTGACTTGCTCTTTAAGGGCAATTCTCATCTGTTTTGTTTGATCTCATCTGTAGACATTTATTATAATTGGGGATGTCAAACAACTAAATTTTAAATGTAATTAAACATAGGCTGTGAATGCATCAAAATTAATCACTATTTCCAAAAATGACTGAAAAAATACCAAATAAAACAAAAGTAAATGAATGCCATCCTCCTTGTGATGATGCCCTGGGCAACTGCCATAAAGTCACATCAAGAAATGCTGCTGATCATTCCAATGATCCCAAATAGACTCACATTAGGCCACATGAAAGCAACTGAACCCAAAAATATATTAACCAGTATATAACTGCACTCACACAACACGCCTGCAGCAACAGTTAGGACTCCTCCCTCCCTTTTAAAAGCGTTTTCGCTTCTGAGGACATTGTGGTTGTAAAACCACATGCTAGTAGTCTGGCCCCGGTGTAATCAACCAGTTTCTGCGGGAATGTGACAGCGGAACCGGTTCGCAGCAGCGCGAGTCCCCCCCTGCCTATCTAATAGCATCGCGCTTACGATTTTATAGACTTTTTTACGAGCTTAGGGCATGTCTAGCGTGTGTAATAATCCGGGGCTTGGGTGAATCACTTTTGAAAAGTTTTTAACTTACCCGGACACCGAGCTCTCTCCTTCCTTGCTGATGATTCTGACATGCTTGCGTTTAAGACGCTGCATCATCACTGCAGCACTCCCATGCCATGCTAAGTCTGACCTACAAACGTTGCAGGTAACGAATGTCGTCGCCTGATTTAACTGAAAATGCTCCCAAACTTTAGAAGTTTTTACTTTTTTGGGTATCGCTGCTTCTGCCATGTTTCCCTTCCAAACACCTGCCGGCGGTCTGCGCGCAACGGCGGGCGGGCGGGAGGGGAGGGGGCTTTAGAAAGAGTTGGACAACACAACGAATCGATGACGCAATTCGTTGCCAATGCTTTTAGTAATCGATTTTCATCGAATTTATCGATTCGTTGTTGCAGCCCTATCATATACAGAATATTTCACTGTAATATGCAGTAAATATACTCAATACTTGAAATTCTGTCATCAGGTGTATTTTGATTTACAAATATTTAAATGCTCATAGAACTACAAATGCACTACTGTGTCCCCTATCAAAGACACCCACTCACATATGATGCTATGAAGATAAAACACATCAGCATCTGTAAAATCTGGTAAAATTGAACCATTACATTGGGTCAAAATGAATAAATAAGCAACCACTTTCAAACCATCATTTATTTAACAACACTTATTCCCAAATAGAAATGTACTGAATTGATAGAGCTATCACAGAAGACCACAGACAACACATCAAGGAACATTATGGTCCTCAGCTCATTTTAAGCAGAAATCACGCTGACATGGTGACCCTGTCTCCTCAGAATTCAACAAGGCAATTAAGTTATTAGTCCAACACAAACTATTTGAAGTCTGCCAGTTATCCTTCCACAACAATTTACACCATTTTCATAATGCTGGCACCTCAAAGAAAAAAGAAATAAAATGCAGTATCACTTTTATCAGTGTTGCCAACTGTTTTCGACTGAAAGTAGCAGAGGTTCCCCCCAAAAGTCGCTAGATGTCGCCAGATGACGTCATGTGCAAATTTGCATATGACGCGATGACATGACAACGTTTGCGTCATGACGTCACCGGTCTTGTACAGTAAATCAAATAAAACCTGCGTGATTTTATTTAAAAAATTATTTAATTTATTTTTTTATATTTTATTAAAATAAAAAATCCCATAGAATACAAAACAGCAGCCTTTAAAACATCAAGTAAAGATGGCACAAAAAATGGAAGGAATATTTTTATTTTGCCTGAAGAGAATGGAACTCTTAAACACAAAAATATTAAATTGATAGGAATGTATGTATGATTGAATTAAAATTAATTTTCTCTTGTAGTTTTCAAGTGCCTTGAGAGGTCTTCTGTTGTGATTCAGTGCTATATATTGACCTAATAGATAATATATATATGTTTTATTTTTGTTTGGTTTTGTTGCTTTTAGTACCTTTGTGTAAAAAGAGGCAGGCCATATTTAGTATTCAGAAAAATTACATGCAAACTGCCAATGACGTGAGGTGTTTGTGTTACAGTGTTATTCTGTTTTTTATAAAAGTTTTAAATGTGCTACGTTATTGAACTCATCAAAGAGTTCCAATGTTCCTTGAATGCACCACAGGTGGTGCGAGAAGCCATCAGCCATGTGCGAGTGCGACGCTGCCTGCACGCACATGCGCAGATCATTTTCTTTCTGATCCTCTGGAAGGAAGGACGGTCCTGTCGCTTCAGATGCATCTCTAATCTGCAGGTAAAGTCGGCAACAAAGTTGTAGTCAAAGTAGCTGAGGGGGGTCAGAAATGTCGCCAGATTTGTCGCTAAACACATTTTTGAAAAAATAAAAATAAATAAATAAAATAAAGTCGTTAAGGGGGTCTGAAAAGTCGTTAGAAATGGTGACAAAGTCGCTAGGTTGGCAACACTGACTATTATCTGCTCATAAAACATTTTTATCCTAAGCTCATTTTAACTTGTTTTAAAATAGAACAACATCTCTCTTCATTGGTCAGTCCGCATGAGACTGACTCTCAACTGCTCTCAACTGAAGTTCAAAGTCATAGGCAGCGAAGCGTCTGTGCAGCGCAAAAGCCCGGGTGGACAGTTTGTTTAATATAAAGCGGGAGATTACAGAAACAGTATTTTGCGCGTGCCCTTGCTGCTGGGTCTGGGCCCTTTAGAGTTTGTGGACCCCTGGGCAATTGCCCAGTTGCCCATGTGGTTAAACCGGCCTTGATTGATAGTATATTTGATAATGTCTGCCTTTTAACACAAAAAACAAGCACAAAAAAGCCAAAAAAGAAGAAGTCTTACATAATTGCATCAACGTGGCGATCCAAATGTGGCGATGTGCAACCTAAAATTTCTCCTGGTGATAAAGGGCGACACTGGGGCACAAGCACATCATAGTCTGGCTTCAAAGCTGCACTCACAGCCTGTAACAGACAGAAACAGAAGCAGAAAAAAGGTCTAATTTGCACTTTCTTGTATTAAATAAACCATGTATCCTTGAAATTAAGAATACATGTTGACGAGAGCAGACAGATGAGGTTAAAGCATGTAAAACTGCAGGATTTGCAGTGTTCTCTAGTGTAAATCATTGCTTTAGGAGTCATTAAAAAATGCTATGATGCTCCTGTTCTGAGAAAAAGAAGTTTGCAGGTGCGGATTACTAATTATTAATGATATGCACACACCTTGCTTCTGATTGGCAAACAAAACACATTCAGCCATGTTGCAAAGTTACTATCACCAACACACTCTCAGCTCTCTCCCTTCGCTGCAAAAAAAAGCGCTCTTGTGGGCGGGCGCAAGCCAATAAGGGCGAGGCCATGCATGCAAATTCACAGTGTGACATAGATATGTGAGGGTGTGGCGTTTCACCATCTATGTTCTATCAGAAGCAAATGCAGGAGATAGGTGTAGGATACTCATTTTATGTTCAGCCTTCACGAAAAACTCAGTGGGACCAATTATAATTAGAAAGAATCATTAAAACATATTTTCAGTCAACCACACCTTTAAATGGAAGCAAAAACCAAATGCCACATGAAATCTAACAGGATTTTTTCAAAGAAAGTATGTTGCTTTCCTGTTTTGAACACACGCACGCACGCGCGCGCGCGCACACACACACACACACACACACACACACACACACACACGAGAGGTCTTCCAACCTGCTGGCGTTTCCTCCAACAGAATCAAAAAAGATGTGGATGAAATATTAAGTTTTTGCTTCCAAATATTAATCAGTTTTTGTTTATTAGTATTTCTGAGGCACCCTGATTCAGAAACCTTCAAGTAGTGATATGCACACACAATAAAAATGCAGTAAGTCATTATGCAGCTCTACCATGCTTCACAGTTGGAGTAAATTAAAGTAAATGAAGATGTCCTTTCTAGAGTACTTTTATTTAAAAAACTGTAAAAAATCTGGAAGTTTCTTGCATCTCTTGTTGAAAAATCCTTGACTAGTATCTTTCATTTTTGATTTTAGCACCCCCTAGTGTCCATTTTAGTTCACTGTCGTAAAAACCAAACTGAAACACTCCTCGCTGTGTGCGTTAATCTAACTGCTGAAGTGTCTCCTCAGCCTTCATTAGTGTCTACAGGAGCTGTTCTTCACTAACTTCCTCACCTTTCAACACAGAAACCACAAAATGCTTTGTAGATACAAAAACAAATAATAACAATAATAATAAAAAGATTTCAAAAGACAAGTTGAACAGACTCTTAAAGGAAACTATTGAGTCCATGATCACAGTAACACAGGTAGAGTGCTAAAGAAACTTGGAACAAGAGAAGAAAAGGTTCTGTCTCCTTTGTTTTATTCATTCTGAATAAAGGACTACAGGCAGGTCTTGGTCAGATGACCTCAAGGACCAGATGAAGGAATAGGGATGCTATTAAACAACTGAAGTACACTGGAGTTTGTCCATGCAGGTCTCCAAATCATGACCAGGAAAGCTCCACTGTCTGTTCAGTTTTTCCTGAGCTATTTAAGGTTAACTACTAGTGCCTATGGTCTTGATTTGGAAAAGGGTAGAATGCCTTCTCTGTGTCAGGGATGAGGTCCTGCCTCAAGTGGAGGAGTGTTAATATCTCAGGTTCTATTTCGTATAGCTCCGCCCTTTAAACCATCGCCTATTGGATTAATTCCATACCCTTAACCAATCACTGAAGAGCTTTTGTGTACGCCCACCTTCTATGTGGGTCCTGGCCCCCAAAAGGGCACAGCGAGCATAGCTTGTCTCCTTTTTACATCTTCAAACAACTTTATCGTTTGAATGAGCTAAAACTAACCTATTCTTCAAGAACATGTCCAACAATCTAGTCAGTTTGTGCTCCCCAGGATTTACACAAGAACAATCTACTGGAAAGTGTCATGTCCAGCGGAGCCTTTCATCTTCTCCACCGGACAGGTACTGTTTATTTACTTAATTGTCGAGGCGGGCCTCCATGCTCCCTCGCGGGACCGAGGCCTGAACTTCCGCGCTCTTCTCCTACGCCGTTTCCGGCCATGAGAGCGCTACTTCGTTAGCTAGTTGCTAAGGCTTTCTGTTCCTGCGCCCGTGCTGACTAAGTCGGATGGCTTAATGCCCAGCACGGCACTGTCCAGTTTCGCTGCTTCTATCCAGTTATTACTCGGCTCCAGCAGCTCTGGCTTACTGGAACAACATAAGAAGGAGCCTTACCTAGCTTCGCGATTTACTAAAGCTGGTTGTTTGGTGTGCTACTCCCACCTCCAAACACGGATTGTGACGCAGCTCTTCACTGTGCCCAGTGTTTTCTGCAGCTGTCTCTGCTGATAGCGGGACTGCTGAAGTGTGACTGGATTCTGTGCTCTGTTGCCTAGTCTATGCTTCCCGGACCCCCGCCCAGCAGACACCGGTTCAATTAGCTTGGACGTGCTGTGTGACCCTCAATATTGCAGGCAGCGCTATCAAGACGACAGTAACCTGCAGAATTATCCACCATTTCAGGTGTCTAGCTGGCCCAAGTTCTGCTCAGAACCAACACTCGGCCACTGTCTAAATTCTTCCAGCTCAAGCTTGGCGACGCGATGCAGGAAATGTGTGTGATCATGACTGCTTATGAATGTTATTTGAAATAAACATTCCCTGGAAACAAATTACTGTTACGGTCCACAGCCACAGATAGTTCGTACGATCCTTCTGCTGTCCTCTCACACGTTTTCCCTCACCAAGCAAAACTATACCTACTCCACAGCGGGAATTCACATCTCACCGCGCCACCGTTTTGGACTTTCGGGTCACGGATGTGTACCCCGTCACTCTCGCGTGTGATCTGCTCTTGACAGACTTTTTCCCGATGCGATGTAGTGTGAGTCTGCATGATTATGGGTTTGCTTGGGTCTCTACGTGCGACAGCCCAGTTGCCCACCAGCTGTGGCTCTGCCTTTTTGAGCTTTCGGGTCACGGCTGCGCACCCCATCGCCCATGCGCGTGCTCTGCTCCCAACAAGTTTTTTCTCTGCGGGATGTGTTGCAGCCTGCACGGTTGTGCTGTCTCACACTCCCTGCCTGCCAAAATGACTCTTTGGGGGAGGTGTGTGTGGTTATCTTCATGTTCAAATCATAAGCAAAGGATTTTGAAACAGTGTTTTCATCTGATGGTTCTGTTGAGCACTCTGATGGGGTTTCACACACGTTTCACACACCTAAAGCACCCATTTCTGGTGACCACTCAGCTGAGGTTCATGATGGGTTAGCTACAGCTGCTCAATGCTTTAAGGCTAAGGGACAACGCACTAACAAGGAACACACTTCCTTCGCTTAGCTGTCAAACCCTCCACACACAAATCTTATGTGTGAACGTGACATTAAACAAGGGCTCCGTGGCGAGCAATGTGATCTGCTGATGAGGCAGAGATCATTTGCCAGAGAGGCAACCTTTCATGCTCCCATGCTGCCTAAGAGGGCTGCCATGTTCCTTCCTTCGCCAGTTCTTGCTCTTGCGCGCTACAGCTGAGCGCACCAATTGTTGTTCAGCAACCCGCGCTTATGGCCCAGCCATCATCTGCGGATGACATGGGTCTCCCGCCCTCCATGGACACCCCCTTGGGTCGCCCCTCCCTTCTGTAGAGGTGGCAGACAACAGTAAGGGCTCGAGGATGGCTCGTGTGCGCGTGTCAAAGCTTACAGCCATACCACCCTGAAAAAGCCAGATCTCGTCTGATCTTGGAAGCAATCCAGGGTAGGGCTTGGTCAGTACCTAGATGGAAGACCGCTTGGGAATACCAGGTGCTGTAACCCAGCCTCTGCACACGCGGCTCCTCTCTCATCATGCACAGGCATGGACATGTGCTTCTCACTTGGGTGCATGGCTACACAACATCTACATGGTCACACACTCCAGTTTCGGTCTTGCCCTTCCCCATTTGCAGGGACTGTGGAGACCAAACTGGCATTATCAGATCAATCTCGCTCTCAGATCAGAACTGCTGGAACTACTGGAAAGGAAGCTACTTCCAGGGTTCCAAAGGGCGAAGAAGACTCAAGGTTTTACTCTCGCTTCTTCCTGGTTCTGGAAGAGTCAGGAGGAATTGATCTTTCCACTTCGAGGCAGTAAAACACTTCTACCTGCTGACCATCAGACAGGTTCTGAGTTATGTGCATCCAGGCAATTAGTTCACCTGTATCAACCTGAGAGATGCCTATTTTCACATTCCGGTGATCCCAAAACACAGGAGATTCCTGAGTTTCTCCTTCATTGGAGCTTAGTTCCAGTACAACATACTGCCTTTTCGGGTACTCCCTTGCACCATGTACTTCAAGGTGGCGCTCCAACCCTTACACACCAAGGGCATGAAAATCCTCTTTCTAGATGATCTCCTGCTTATGACCTGCTTCAAGTCCGATGCAGACTCCCGGACACTGGCAGAACTTCACGTTTGGGTTTTCCATAAACAGGTGGAAAGTTTGGTGACTCTTTCTCAGGTGATCATGTTCTTGGGAGTGGAACTGAATTCTGGGATCATGAAAGAGCATTTGTCACAGTCCGGAATTATGGACTTAACTGCGATGCTCAGGCACATGCGCACATGTCACTCTGTGACGGCACTGACAGTCATTAGACTGATGAGCATGATGAGATGCATTCAGCGTTGGCTCAGACGTCTCAAGGTTCGCCTGATCCACCACACGCGTCACATCTTGCCCTTACCTCCCTCGGTGAGGAGGGATCTGCAACATCGGGCAGTCCCCAGACCCTGAGAAAAAGAGTCCCGCTTGACTGCATGGCTTCCCATGTCTCAATATTTACAGACTCATTTCTGTCAGGATGGGTGGGGGCTACATGTTTGTCCCATTCATTGGGCGACAGTTGTCTCTACGAATTCATGCGCACCTTAATGTGTTGGAAGTCCTGATGATCCACAAAGTGATTCTCCACTTTGCACCTCTGCTCCAAGTCGCGTATGTGAACCGCCAAGGTGGGGTTCACTTGGCTGTACTTCTGAGGGTTTGGCTGCTGAACGGCTGCGCTCAGTGTCTCTTGTTCTACCACCCGACATGATCCTGACCATTCAGAACGCTCGCGCTTCATCCACAGTAGTCTCATATTCTGCTACATGGGCCACGTTTCAGAGCTTATGTGAGGAGTGAAACTTTGATCCCCTCTCCTGCCCATTAGCCAGCATTCTCCTTCCTGCAGATGCTGACAAACAAATGTGTGACTCCGCAATGAGATCTGGCTGTGGTTCTACGTGGGCTGTCCCAGGCTTCCTTTGAACCTTTGGACCAGGTTCCAATAAAGATTTTGTTCCTCAAAACCGCAATGTTGCTGGATTTGATGTAATTTAAGAGAATTAGTGACCTAACTTCTCTCTCTGTCTCGACATCTTGTCTCAGGAAATGGAAAGATGGGTGTACAGCCGTTCTCTGACCCAAACCCAGCGTTCTACCACAAAGAGCATCACCAACTCTTTCAGGTCCTGAACCATTTCTCCAATGGGGTTTTCCTTCCCCTCATGCTGCATCCTACCTGCAGTGCCCAGCGTGTGCACTCAGATGCTACGTCTCTCGCACAGCTCAGCTGTGCACTTCGCAGCAGCTGTTTGCTCACTACAGTGATTGTTCTAAAGGGCAACCTCTGTCATCTCAGCGTCTTTCACATTGGCTGTGTGACGTCATCACAAATGCCTATGCTTCATCTGGGTTGGACGCTCCAGTGACATTAAAAGTACATTCTAATCAGGCGGTTTCATTGCGAGCTGGAATGTCTGTAGCAAACATATGGATTGCTGCTTCATCGTTTTCTCCATCTTACTTTGTATGTTTTACCTCAGAGATGTGTCCACCAGCCTCGCCACTAATGTGGTGCTAACACAAAGTTCAGCTTATTCACAGCTGTCGCTGAAAGTTCTTATCAGAGACTTGGCTGTTTCGTTTTTGTCATCCTTGTGTTCTTGAACACCCTCATTGACATGTCCTTACAATATGTCTCATTGTGTCCTCTTGATTGTGACAGCTTCTCTCCCACCGGTTGCTAGGCAACCTTGAGGTTGATTCTCATCAGCTATACACTGATCACACGCCGTCATCATGTCCTCCAGCTGTTCTCTCATGTTTACGCCCGTCGACAGCTGTAGAGGTTTATTAGGTGGAGCCTCTGAGTCCGCTCAAGTTTAGTTCTGAACCAGTGTGGCGTTGACTATATCTGGCTCCACCTTTAATCCAATAGGCAATGGCTTAAAGGGCGGAGCTCTACGAAAAAGAACGTTGGTTACGTATTGTAACCCCAGAATCTATAAGTACAGAGTAGCCCTTTAAGCATCTTGGCCCCACTGGTTCTCTGGACTCAATAAGACTTATGGAGACGAGCTTTGCTCGCTGTGCCCTTTTTGGGGGCCAGGACCCGCCTAGGAGGCGGGCATACGCAAAAGATCTTCAATGATTGATTATGGGGATGGAATTAATCAAATAGGTGATGGCTTAAAGGGCTACAGTATACTCATAGAATCTGGGGTTACAATACGTAACCAAGGATCTTGTTTGCGAAGAAATAAATAGAGCAAGAGATCAATAGGTGGATTGGAGATGGATCTACAGTGACATGGGTGTTGTACCAGTCTGTCATGGTGAAGAAAGAACTGAGCCTTAAGGTGAGACTCTCAGTTGATCAAATTTACCAGTCGGTCTACGTTACAACCCTCATCTATTGTCACAAGCTTTTGGTAGTGAATGATACTTGATCGTGGATACAAGCAGCTGAAATAAGTTTTCTCCACAGGGTTGGGGTCTGGGCTCTCCCTTAAGAGATGGGGTGAGAGGCTCAGTCATCCGGGAGGGGCTCAGGGTAGATCTGCTGCTCTGGTAATGTGTTCAGGGGATGTCCAAATGCGAGGAGACCCAGATAAAGGTCCAGCACACAATTGAAGTATGTCTCTGGGATCATCTTAGAAGGAGATGACCCAAGTGGCTGGAGAGAGGGAAGTCTGAGCCTCTCTGCTTCGACTGCTGCTCCTGTGACAAATCTGGATAAGTGGATGGACCAGTGTTCAAAAAGACACATTTTTGTAAATTATGTTGTTGATTCGTGAACCTGCAACCAATGGAAACCTAACACAATATAAATAATAATAATAATTTGTTATTTAGGATTCAAACATTATGCACTGGTAGAGTATTAAATATAAAAGTACTGATCAGGTATTTTAGGTTTGTGGGTGTGACACAGACATAGTCTACAGATCTGAACAGCTCACTGATGGACAATTTTCAAACCATCTGCACTCATGCATACACAACTACACTACCACACAAAAACATAAGCATGTTGACATGAATGCACTGAAACAGCCAAACATACAGTATAATACTACCCCAGAGGGCAGAGTGTGATTTAAAAATAGTGGCGGTTACATTAGTGAAGGCCCACAGTGGTGCTGAAAAGCACCAGAGCAGCACATTATTGAACAGGAAGGCAGCAAGCCTGAAAGATGGATGTTAAAGCTTAATATTACAACTGTTGCCACTGCTTATGTAAAGAGCAGTCCTAAGCATGACGCTGAACTGAGAGGCTTTCCGAGGTCACTGCACCTTTCAAAGCAAAAATAACTGCTGCCAGATCTGACAAACCCACACTTGAACTGAACTAAGAGAAGTGTTCATAAAAGCCAGGGACCACAAAAACACACTATGCACGTGTTCCGATGAATGCACGTCTGTAGTTTTGCACAATGCATGCACATGCAGTCATATAACAGGCAAAAGCAAACACAAGAGAAAACTGTGAATAAAGACATTCATTTAAATTCCGTCTATTCAATGTGCCTCTGCACCTCGTGAAGCAAAAATGAGCACGTCCACATGGGTAATGAATGAGAGAAAAGCAATGCTTCATCACCTGCAATGCTGCCACAAACTGAATGGTGCTGACAAGCGCCAAGGATTTTCCAGGAGGGAAGTTGAACTTGACTGTGTCCAAGAAATGTGCATTGTCCATCTGGATATCCACAAACACATACAGCATCTTAATGCCTGCAGTGGAATCTATGGGAACTGCAGGAGAGACAAAGACAAGAAAAGATGAATAATTCACTTTCATGTCAGGTAAGCCGGCATTATATGCACTACTGATGGTGCCTCAAACATTAATGTGCAGAACATGTGCAGACATACAGCTACATAGAATCCATGCATGCACATTTATAGCTCCCAGCTGGCGCCTGCTTCATATAATTGAAAATCATTCAGATCAAGTTGCTAGCTCATGCAGGAACTGATGTAAAGACCTCAATTATGTAGGGAAGAAGGGGGGACACATGTGATTGCTATTAATGCCATTAATTTCATAGGCCATTTATCACGCACTCGGGCTTAGCTAGAGACATGCTGAGGTAGATGCTGAGCAAAGTAGTCCAAGAAAAAAGGTGAGGAGTGAGTGCATAAAATGAAGGAATTACTGTTTGTGTTCAAAATCACAATGTTTCCACACCTTATGCAACACCAAATATGCAAACCGGATGGAAGGGGACTTCAAGTGTTACCTAAATAAACAACCCATTGAGGTCAATTTTAGAAAACCAGACTAAATCCACTGCAAAATGAGGTAAAGAAAATGTAGAAAAGAAACCCTGCTCTCCATACAAAAGGCCGATTGGATAGAAACAGTAAATGAAATTCTAGCAGAAATAGGCTGGAATAGACTAATTCAATTTAGGAACGGGGGTAGGTGATTTCATCGTCAACTATATGAAGTTCAAACGATTTGGCATGAATGATAGGAGTGGAAAAAGTAATGGGATACCGAGTGTGTGAATGTGTTTTTGCTTGGAGTGTGAGAGGAGGGGTGTCAATTAACTTGAAACACGAGTGATGAATGGTCTCATGTCTCAGCAAGGAGAGGAAAAGGCAAAGGGGTATTCAAAAGCTGCAGGGCACGTGGAGCGAAAATGTTGGGGGGGGGGGGGGGGGGCTAAAAGGGGTTGGAGTAGATGAGTTAAACCTAAATCTGAGACTATCAGCTGTGTGCAGGTTGTTTATAGTCACTCCCAAAATGTAAAGGGCAAAGCAAAGTGGGATCGATCTGTGTTCACATTAACATGGTAGCCTGAGTGCACTTAGGCGCTGCAATTAGAGAAACAGTCAATAAGATGGACAGAACTCACATGATCACCAGATGTATCCTCGTGTGTTATTGCAATAGGGTCTTGTAGCTCAGTTGCTTATTAATGCCCATGTAAACAAATACAGAGGCACATTTAATGAAAGTATAATGATATACTTGCTGGTTTTAAGGGGGGTTGTTAAAAGCATATCTATAAGATTTAATGTCTAGTGTACAGTATTTAAAATGTGGCCCTAAACTCAGGAGCCCTTCTAGTTGGATACAAATTCTGCTATGATCTTCGAGACCTCCTCGACTAATTAGAATAGGGATGTATTGTAGCAAGTTTTACTCATAGTACACACCAAAAAGTATCGCCCTGCTGTATATTTCCATATCCCACTAAAGCTCCAGCTTCCTCACAGTGTTCTACGTGTCAGCAGCATGTCCCCATGACAATCGGAACACATTTACACACGGCAGCAGCTTGACTCATCCTGGCATGGTTTTCTCAGACTACATCAGGAGGTAGTGCCCTATGAAATCAGTTTTATTTTTGCCCAAACAGTTGTATTTTTTCCGTTTTATTATGTCACCTTGGCTCACAGTAATATGCCACACCCCCGATGCCCCTCCGATCACTTCACACACAGAAGGCTGCAGTATCTCCAGAGGCCAATATTGGTCCACTCAGATAATAACAACAACAACAACAACAACAATAATAAAAATAATAATAATAACTTCTTTAATGTTTTGTATTTTACAATAAATCCCTAACCTAGAAATCTAGACAACCTGTAGCAGTAGCTAAAGATTTTGCTCTGCAAGTTGGTCAAGCCATTCGCCATTTTAGTCTCAGGAGGTCTACCACTGGTGTGGTTAGAAATGTCTTTTACATTAGCTTTGGACGGTTTAGACTTGGGCCTTTCTTTACTTCTACAGCGCATGACAGAGTGCCCCATTGACTGAATAGGTCATATTATTCAATGCTCTGATTGGTCTTCATGCTGTCCAATTGCACACAGAGACCGTTTGAAAGACAACCGTAAATTCTGCCCCTACACCTGAGCTGGGTTGTGGCCAGATCATTTATTCACATTTATAGGGTGGCCCACCAGGCTAATTAATCCTATTTAAATGTCCAATTCCAGAGCACAGAGCTCTAATGTTGCACTACAGCAGTGGTTCCCAACCTTTCTTCCTTGAGGACTCCCCTGCCCCTGTCCAAGACAAGGCAACGACCCCCAACCCCAACTCCTATCCACATTTACACTTTGAAAAAGTGATTTACTACAAACTTTATATAAACATACAGCAGAAGTAGACAACTCCCTTCCCTGAGGGCTGGTATCGTGGGGATGGTGTGCTGCTGACCTCTACTCAGGACGTTGTGGATCGGTGGGCAGAATACTTTGACGACCTCCTCAATCCCACCGACACGTTTTCCAGTGAGGAAGCAGAGTCTGGGGACTTTGAGTTGACCTCTCAAATCTCTGGTGCTGAGGTCACTGAGGTGGTTAAAAAGCTCCTCAGTGGCAAGGCTCCAGGGGTGGATGAGATCCACCCGGAGTTCCTTAAGGCTCTGGATGTTGTGGGGCTGTGTTGGCTGATGCGGCTCTGCAATATCGCATGGACATCGAGGGCAGTCCCACTGGACTGGCAGACTGGGGTGGTGATCCCCTTATTTAAAAAGGGGGACCGCAGGGTGTGTTCCAACTACAGGGGGATCACACTCCTGAGCCTTCCTGGTAAGGTCTATTCAGGAGTTCTGGAGAGGAGGGTCCGTCAGATTGCTGAACCTCAGATTCAGGAGGAGCAATGTGGTTTTCATCCTGGCGATGGAACACTGGACCAGCTCTATACCCTTAGGGGGATCCTGGAGGGTGCGTGGGAATTTGCCCAACCAGTCTGTGTTTTGTGGATTTGGAGAAGGTGTTTGACTGCGTCCCTCGGGGGGCACAGTGGGGGGTACTCTGGGAGTATGGGGTACCAGGCCCTCTGATACGTGCTGTTAGGTCCCTGTATGGCCGGTGTCAGAGCATGGTCCGCATTGCCGGCAGTAAGTCGGGCCCCTTCCCAGTGAGTTGGGCTCGGCCAAGGCTGCCCTTTGTCACCGATTTTATTCATAACCTTTATGGACAGGATTTCTAGGCTCAGCCAAGGTGTGGAGGGCATCCATTATGGTGGCCTGAGGATCAGGTCTCTGGTTTTTGCAGATGATGTGGTCCTGTTGGCTTCATCAGAACGTGATCTTCAGCTTTCGCTGGAGCGGTTCGCAGCAGAGTGTGAAGCAGCTGGGATGAGAATCAGCTCCTCTAAATCTGAGACCATGGTCTTGATTTGGAAAAGGGTAGAATACCTTCTCCGGGTCAGGGATGAGGTCCTGCCCCAAGTGGAGGAGTTTAAGTATCTCGGGGTCTTGTTCATGAGTGAGGGAAATCTGGAGCATGAGATCGATAGGCGGATTGGTGCTGCGTCTGCAGTGATGCGGGCGTTATACTGGTCTGTCGTGGTGAAGAGAGAGCTGAGTCAGAAGGCGAAGCTCTCGATTTACCGGTCGATATACGTTCCTACCCTCACCTATGGTCACGAGCTTTGGGTAGTGACCGAAAAAACGAGATTGCGGATACAAGCGGCCAAAATGAATTTTCTCCAAAGAGTGGCTGGGCTCTCCCTTAGAGATAGGGTGAGAAGCTTGATCATTCATGAGGGGCTCGGAGTAGACCCGCTGCTCCTCCACATCGAGAGAAGCCAGTTGAAGTGGCTCGGGCATCTGGTCAGGATGCCTTCTGGACACCTCCCTGGTGAGGTTTTACGGGCACGTCCAACCGGGAGAAGACCTAAAGGTAGACCCAGGACACGGTGGAGGGACTACGTCTCTCACCTGGCCAGGGAATGCCTTGGGATTCCCCCAGAGGAGCTGGCCCAAGTGGCTGGGGAGAGGGAAGTCTGGGCCTCTTGCCTTAGGCTACTGCCTCTTGCCTTAGGCTACTGCCCCCGCGATCCGACTCCGGATAAGCGGATGAAAATGAATGGATGGATGGATGGATGGTAATCTTGGTAACCTAATAACCTAAGCTCAGACATTCTTGTGGGGACCCCTTGGGGGTTCACAGACCTCAGATTGGGAACCACTACACTACAGGATCAGGACATGTCAGCTAAGAGCAACCTTTTCTTACCACTGGATGTGAAATCAGCGCTTAATGTAATAGCAGGGTTTCACCTGCGAGCTCACTCCTAACTGGGAGTGATTCTAATGCTAAACGGGAGCAAAGGAGTTCCACACAGCTGAACCCGTAAGCTGACAAAATCACGGGAGAATTGCAACCCCACTTCAGAAGTTCACACACAATAAACAAGCAAGGATAAAGACAGCTGAATGTATCCCAAAAAGTCTGTTGTTGTTTTCTGTTCTGTTTACCAGTTACAGGGGTTTCACAAGAAATGACGTACTGCACATGACTTTTCTTTTGAAAGTTTCCAGATTTTTTACACTGGTTTTGTGTATGGTTTGCCGTCTGGCCCAATCTAAACTACAAAGTTTGATGCGTTTTTGAAGCAAAGCGCATAAAAATAGACTTGGAACGTTAAGATAGTGTCCCTTCGATTTAAAAACGTGACACTTTCCTGCCATCCACTTTAACGGCGGCTAATTGTCCCTTAGTACATTTTGTGGCAGTTTCACAACGCCAGTGGAAAGAAGTGGTAAGAGCAGTTTAGGCCAGCTTGATCAGTTCTGTGCCAATTTCTTGACAACAAAGGTGGTGTACACGGCCTTCGTATTCCACCTAGACTCCTGATCTATCATGATAAAAGTAAATAAATAAATAAAACACACTATGAATGGAAGTATTGTGCATGCAAAATCAATATTTGATTTGTTGTGATACATTTTTAAATTACAATGACAGACAAGACGGCAGGTGAGGAAGACAACATGTGAGAGGTGAGGGTTAATGTGAGTTTATAGTGTCTACACAGTAACTGTTTACTGGGCTTTTAATCCTGTTAAACCAATTCAAAACTACAAGAATCATGACTTTCTTGTGATGCAAAGACAGTGAAGAATATTTTTAAAAAGATGACTCACACAAAAGTCATTTTCAATTATTCCATTTCCAACTCACTAAGGTTTTCTCATTTGAGCTGCATCCTTTGAAGCACAGGTGTGTAGAGACACTTACGACATGCATGTTAGCAACTAGTTCAAACTGCTGCCTTTTACCTCCTCTACGGTCTGTGTGCACATCAAGAATGCTGGCGAATTTCTGGAATTGCATTCATCTGTATGAAGGTGTAGAGACTGAGCAGGTAAAACCAAGAGATGCAACAAAAAGGCTGATTAAGGAGTATGCAACAATGAACTAGTTTGTTTGTATTTAGTTGGGGTTAGGGTTAGGGCACGTGGAGCTAAACCCGTGATCAGGGTCCAAAATTAAATTTTTTACTCATCGGCCAAGTTGGCTGGTAGATGATGAAAATCTACCGGCCAAGCATATTTTTTACCGGCCAAAATTCTAAATGATTTAGATCTACCTAAAGCATGTAATTCTATATTATGTTGATTCCAAACAGAGTGACAAAATAATTAAAACATCAATTAATAAGGAAAACAACTCTTTTGTCATTTTTACTATTTATTTATTTAGTTTTAGAGACGTTTTTATGAACTCTTTCATTTAAATCTAGTCAGACTCCTTGTTTTCTCTGTCCATGAAGTCTGGCCTCCTGCTTCTGACACCGTCTTTGTGCCAAAGCATTACAGCCTCATTTGGGTCCTAGTCCTTGATCTCTGGAGAACACAGCTGTACCATGAGAATATCTGAAAGTGTGTCAGGGGCCGTCATGGTAACCGGTGTAGCAGTAAACCCCAGTAAAAAAGTTGACAATAAATAATAACAGTCTTGTTTAAAAATATATATATATATTATCTCGGTGGATTACCGTGGCTGCGGTGTAGGCGCGGTGACCCTTACCAGCCACCGTATCATCTGCTGGAAGTTGCCGGCGGCACATGCGCACTTTGTTGTTTACGACCAAAACTTTCTTTAAGCTAAAGCTGAAATAATGGCCAGAGGAGACGGCACTTGGGACATTTATTATCCCTCAAAGAAGACAAAGTCGGAAGTACGGGCATGTTTTGGATATTTGAAGAATGCCGAGGGCCAGTTGTCTGTGAAAGGCAGCAACGCTACGTGGCCATCATAATGTAGCCGCTGTCTCACGACTCCACCATCTCCGGTTCGCCACTTTCACAAAATCTTCTGGTTGCCACTGGTCCTGGTGGTTTTTCTTCCAGTTCGACGAGTTTTCTTTTGGAAGGCTGGCTGACCACCAGTTAAAAACCGCCACATTTCACCGCTAGTTTTAAGTCACAAAGCTAACGGCTAACTTGATAAACTGATTGAATGGAATAGGTGGAAATGACGTTGGATGCGGCGTTCACGTTTCGCGTACGTTTGTGTACGTTGCATGCAGGCGGGAGGAGTATCAGAAATCCGTGGAAGATGACTGATAAACATAACTAATTTGGTGCAAACATTTACTCTCCAGGTGGCAGGTAGAGCTCAAAAATTTACTCGCCAAATGGAGCAATTTACTCGCATTTGGCGAGTGGCGAGTGTTAATTTCGGACCCTGCCCGTGATTGAGTGCATTTTGATTACAAACTATTACTGTAAACTTGCATTGGCTGTAAAGGGTGGGAGAAAAGGGTTTGCAAAAAACAACCAAAAATACTATCATGATCTAGCTTTATAAAAGTAAGAAGCCTTTCTGTTAGATTACTCAGGGTCCTCATGCATAAAGCAACAAAATCTGCCTTCGGGAACATCTGGAGCACTGGCAAACATCTGTTATTCTTGTCACTTTGGCATGTAAGACACCATCTGTATTGTTTTTTTTTTTTTCAGCCAAATCAAGATGGTGAGTCAGTGTTGGGTAAAATACATGACTGTGTTTGGCTGCTTGGCACAGCAAATTAGTGGGTAAGAATGGAAACCGCACTGATGACAGAGAAAAAACACTAGGTACTGTGCTACATAGATCATTTTACATCTCTATGTCAAAGTCAAAAGGTGAACGGATATGTTTTAACTGCAAGGAAGCGTTCGAGAAAATGGGCACTGATTTGCATATTCAAAGATCAGCACAAACCAAAAGGACATAGAGGTGGGTGAGGTGCATTAAGTCATTTTAAGGGAATAAACGGAGACAAGAGAAATTAATTTAGGTCCATGCAAAAACAAAACAAAAATTCAAATAAATATAACATGCAGTATTTATATCATGAATTGGTGATGTTGCTACTTTAGTGCTGCACAAATTAGAGGTGTAAAATTATAGAAGGGTGCAAATATGTAAAACATACTGCAGGACTAAAACAAAGACGCAAATAAAGGAGCAGAGGGAGCAGTTAAGGCACCCAGAACATCTGAGGAACATTTTTTTTCTCGTTTCAAACCTCATCTTTACAGTTATCTGGAGCTATAAAGCATAAACGTCTGTGTAAATATTTGGTCTCGTCTGTAAACACATAAGCCTGCTCTCACATAATTCCACTATAAACGTGCCAACACTCAAATCCAAACCAACAATAAAAGCATAAATAAACAAACCGTGATATTTTCCCATTTATATTAAAATTCTTCTGGTCATTTCTGGTATTTTGGAGAAGTGAGGTAGTTCTGGCAGGGTGATATCAAAACTATTGATTTAACATTTCCTACCGTGTTTCACAAGAGACAGGCAGTGGGGGGAGAGCATGAAGGTCCTTGTGAACTGCTCCAGGATTTCAAACGATGGCTCTAATGCATGTTCTAAATTGATCTGAAAGCGAGGCTCCAAAGGTCTGGTTCTCTTTCTATATAAGAGCCGGACAGACCGCTCTAACTAGTTACACTCTCCACCTATCGATGAAGCCATCTGTCAGTCTCCGCCTTTGTCCGTGCTTTATTATTTTTCCATGCAGCCCACTCTTAGAAGGTGGGCGTCCTTGATGCTTGCTTTCTGAATGCCGGCCTTTGAAATGCAATTTTGCATTTGGAGTAATGGAGAAAAAAGCTGAACATGAAAACACTCACTGAGACAGCTGTGGCCATAGTGGACCATGAAATCAGCTCCCAAGGCTCGGGCTGAGAAGTCGTCCACGCAGCAGGCCCCGTACGTCACGTCACCCATAACGATGGTATCTGCCTCTGTGAACCTGGAACGTACAACCTCCAGTCAGTACAGTCACAGAACATATGCAGCTCTCTACAAATGTGATCAATAACCATAGAATGCAATGTGAGTGAGCTGAGTGAAATCAATTTCTATCACGGTTAAAACTGAAAGCACAAAATATAGTTTCTCATGAATGAATGAATCAATCAATGAATCAATCAATAAATGAACAGTGTGACTCATTCTTATTTATGTTGGCCTTCATGACTGGTGATCAATAGACAGGCTGTGGAAAACACAAAGCCTTAAGCCGGGCGTACACTGACTGAACAACGTTTTCAGTCGTATTCAGCTTCATCTCAAACAGTACGACATTATCGCAGGGCACAGCTCATGAGTCATGTTCTCACACCGTATGACCCGGCGCTAGGATGCAACCTGACTGCTCACACTGTACATCTGGTAGAAACACGTCAGACCTAAAATATGCTAATAAATAGTCGTTTTTACTCAACAGGTCAGACCTACAAATCCAGAAGAGAGGAAACTGTTGTGCTGTTGTTGATATCTATCATATTTGAGGCTTGCTAATTTGCTGTTGTTTGACAATCCTTGCCATTTTGTGCAGAGAAAATTGTAAAAAGAAAGAGACTTTGATAAATGAGTCAGAGGACTCCAAAGCGCTTTACACAACAGTGTATTATTCATTCATTCACACACATTCACACGCTGATGGTGATTAGCTACGATGTAGGCACAGCCGCTCTTGGGGGCGGACTGACAGAAGCGAGGCTGCCGAGCACAGGCGCCAATGGTCCCTCCAAACAACACCAGCACCATCAGACTTTGCATACGGACAAGGAAATGGCAGAGAAGTTACACATGTGTTATGTAAGTGCAATGTCACAACCTCACTACAGACCAGCAGAATTTCAAATGGGAGGGGCTTGGAATAGATCTGCAGCAGCTCAGGCATCTGGTTAGGATGCCTCCCTGTTGAGGTTTCCCAGGTAGGTCCAACTGGGAGGAGACCTAAAGGAAGACCCAGGACACGCTGGAGGGACTGTAGGCCCTTACACACTAGCATCTGGACCAGGTTGGACATTTTCCCATTTAGTAGCCTTGAATTTTCCCGCGCACAATCTTTTCAGCCCTCATCTCATAGAGGTCTGCATGGAAGCAGACGCTTAACATTTCAAGTAGTTAGTTAAAGTTTTCACAAACTTCTGTACCTGTTGTTCTACTCTGCAGTAATAGAGGGCAATTGTGGCTTTTGAGAAGCACAACAGGTTTGTTTAAACATGCTTCTGTAGACCCAGTTCTATTTGGAAGGACTACAGAAAAACACAGCTGACAAAATGGGCCTTTCCTACTATAGCCCTCTTTGGAGAATTAAATGCTAAGTAAAGCCATTAAGGCAAAGTAAAACAAAATTTGAAAGCAACACTCAGAAAACGTTAATGAACAGGAGCTGGAGGCATCAGAAGGGATGGTTTATGCCAGGCGACTGTGACTGCATTCAAACAGATTTAGGCTGGAGAGAATGAGCCAAAAGAGAGATGCAATGGAGGGCCAAAGAAGAGTTGACAGAGGTGATAAATAGACATTGCTGCACACAGAAAAGCATCTGTGACAACCAACACAGTCTTAGTAATACGTCTCCTGCTGCCCAGATCTTTCAACCACCATCCGCTCTGCTTATTCCGCACTCTTCCCTCTGCAAGAGGGATCAGACAAAGTTTCTATTAAGCCTTTCCTCCTTCATTTTCTCTTGATGTAGACTCTGGGCTGAGCTCTCTCTGGACTCCACATCACTGTCCCCTTGTTGTCTATGTTGTTTCTTCTCTCTCTGCATTTGCCCATCCTGTCTACTCTAATGGCAGCCCTTGAGTGAAGAGTCATGCAGGACCAGCTGAGCCCAGCGAGCCATACAGAGCAATTCATCCAGTAAATAAATATTAGCCTTTGAAGGCTTGAATTGATCATTCTTTTTGATGATGAGATTTTGATTTTGGTTATATTCGTATTGCATCAAGATAAAAACAGGATATAAAATATTGAATAATTATACACTCACTGGCCACTTTATTGGGTACACCTTGCTAGTACCGGGTTGGACCCCTTTTGCCTTCAGAACTGGCTTAATCCTTTCAATTAGAAGAAGAAGAAGAAGAAGAAGAATAAGAAGAAGAAGAAGAAGAAGAAGAAGACGAAGACGAAAAAGAAGAAGAAGAAGGAAGAAGAATGAAGAAGAAGAATAAGAAGAATGAAGAAGAAGAAGGAAGAAGAATGAAGAAGAAGAAGAAGAAAGAAGAAGAAGAAGAAGAAGAAGGAAGAAGAAGAAGGAAGAAGAATGAAGAAGAAGGAAGAAGAAAAAAGAAAGAAGAAAGAAGAACCAGATTATCATTGCAGGGGCCCCTGCGCACAATGTGCTTAGGGCCACACCTTCCTCCTCCTGTCTCCTGTCTCCTTCCACCTCCTGTCTCCTGTTTCCTTCCTCATCTTGTTACCTGTCTCCTTCCTCCTCTTGTCTTCTGTTTCCTTCCTCATCTTGTCTCCTGTTTCCTTCCTCCTCTTGTCTCCTGTTTCCTTCCTCCTCTTGTCTTCTGTCTCCTTCCTCCTCTTGTCTCCTGTTTCCTTCCTCATCTTGTCTCCTTCCTCATCTTGTCCCCTGTTTCCTTCCTCGTCTTGTCTCCTGGCTCCTTCCTCCTCTTGACTCCTGGCTCCTTCCTCCTCTTGACTCCTGGCTCCTTCCTCTTCTTTTTGTTTCCCCTTGTTGGTCTCCTCTCTTGCCTTTAGAAAAACTGCTTTCTGGCCTTTCTATTAGTAAATCCATTTACAATGTCATCAAATTCCAGATTCCTGACAAGCTGAGATTCAGTAGCCATCAGTGACAGTGCACTGAGGCACTGCTGACTTTGTGTTGTTCTCAGTTCATTTTTTTTATTCTTGCCATTTGTGAAAATGATCGTTCCCCTTCACAATTTGTAACTGGTAGAGTTAGAAAAATCCGCAGGGCCACAAACACATTAGGGAAGATGGACTGTAGACTATTTTTTAGCCTGAAAACGATCCTGGTACTGCTTATATTATATATATGCCAGCTCAGTGGCCTAGTGGTAGAGTGTCCGCCCTGAGACTGGGAGATCAGGGTTTTCAATTCCTGGTCGGGTCATACCAAAGACTTTGAAAAAATGGGACCCAATGCCTCCCTGCTTGACACTCAGCATTAAGGGGTTGAATTGGGGGGTTAAACCACCAAATGGTTCCCGAGCGCAGCTGTGTCTGCAGCTCACTGCTCCCCCAGGGATGGGTCAAATGCGGAGAACAAATTTCGCACACACATTAGTGTGTGTGACAACTGATGGGACTTTAACTTTAACTTTATATTAAATTATCTATGTGGACTCTGGGGATTATTTTGAACGGAGAGGTGCAGAGCTCTGATCGTTGACGCGCTCCAGACAGATGCGTCCTGAGCATGGCTGCAGTAACATTATCAAAGTGTAGCCACCTCAAAAACAAACTTAACACGCGATCGTTCATGTCGGCTCATATCCTTTCATGCTTTCTGTCTTTTATTTGTGTCTGATGCGTTTCGCTGCTGCGGAGCGAGCGCATCACCTGTTTCATCCTCCGGTGACTTCACTGCACCGGTGCGGCCGGCGAGCACTCCGCTATTTTTGCGGTCGGTAAATCTTTTAGAACTGCAGTTCAAAGGTAACTCGAGGTGAAACTATGAAGCCAGGTAGCAGTTTTTCTTTAGGACTGAGAGGAGATGCAGGAAGATAATAAACAGACAGGACAGAAAAATAGTCAAATAAAAACAAGTTCGTTTTTGTACCTGGTGGTTGCAACAAACAGACACCGTTGAAGGTAATCAGAATTGAGGAACAGAAAATGAAATGATTCTTTCAATGTTTAGATCAGCAGGAACTCTGAGAGGCTGCAGGCGCATCAGTGAGTTTGCAGCCGCTGCGCAGGGGGAGAGGACTGAAGAAGGCAGTAAAGATGCAAAAACTACTGTTTTTTTTAACCTTTATTTAACCAGGATGGAGACCCATTGAGGTTAAGAACCTCTTTTACAAGGGTGTCCTGGCCAAGAGGCAGCAAAAATACAAACAGTTACAGCATAATGGCAATGATAAAACAATCAATTAATTAAAAGCAGTTACAAGCTACTAATGCAGTCTCTGAAGCTTTCAGTTTGGTTTTGAAGGCATTTAGTGAAACCTGCTCAGTCATTTTCCAGGTGTTCTGCAGCTGGTTCCAAGCAGAAGGAGCAGAGCAAGTGAAGGCCCTCTTTCCTAACTGTGTGCGAGCAAACGGAACAGAAAGTAGCAACTGATCGTTGGACCTTAAAGAATAGGAATCAACATTTTTTCGTGTGATTAAAGTGCAAATATAAGGAGGTAACAATCAAAACACTGCCTTGTAAATAAAAACATACCAACGATTTTGTCTTCTTATTGCCAATGATGGCCATTTCATTAGTGAATATAATTCACAGTGATGTGTTATGGCTATACAAGTTGTTAAAAGAATTGTGTGTTAACTTAGAAAATGCGGGTGCAAATTTAATTACTTGTTAACTTTTTTCTCCAACGTTAAAACTGCTGCACAAAATAAAATAAAATAATTAAAAAAAAAAGACTGCTGCTCGCGTGGGCCCCCTTGGGGCTGTGGGCTCCTGGAAATACAAAACTTTGAACCATTCTGGTAAATTTGGAACTGGTTCCAATCGATGCTCGATACTTGATGCCCAACCCTACAGATACTCTTCTACATACCTTGGTTGTAACGAGTGGTTATTTAAGTTACTGTTGCCTTTTCAGGTAGAACCAGTCTGGCCATTCGCCTCTGACTTCTGGCATTAACAAGGTGTTTTAACTAACAGAACACCGCCCAATGGATGTTTTCCATTTTCCGAACCATTCTCTGCAACCTAGAGATGGTTGTGCATGACAATCCCAGAAGATCAAACCAGCCCGCCTGGCACCAACGACAACGCCACATTCAAAGTCACTTGAATCACCCGTC